AATTGTGTTAATTTGCCATTTGCACAGTGGCTGGCAGGGAAATAGTGCTGCACCACCTTGGAAGGTCTTTTATTTTTGGGTACGTATTGGATTTACACCAAATTAAGGGCAGCTTATGCTTTCAAGCAAACATGGGGATGGTATAGAAGTGGCTGAGGAGGATCATGGCACATTTTTTACAGCATATTAGAGCGCATATATGTCTGTGACTATGACATTAGTGCCATTAGTAGCACTCCCCGGCCCCCTAACCATCAATTCTGGAGACTTGAGCAAATAGTGTGGTTAAGTCTTCAAGATATCACAAGATATTCTTACACAGGTCAAAGTGATACCTGGACATTAGGAGAACTAGAACAGGCAGTATATAGATAAGGAGGACTCCACTTGAGGAGGGCATGTTTATCGGAAAGAAAGCGGAGAAAGCGGTTGGCACTCTTTTGATCGGTTACTTGAGTTCTTCAGTAGATTAGGTTCATAGAAGTGTGCCATTGCTGGTACTGTTACAGATTGGTATTGTTGATTTCTCTGAAGGCTTTGCATGCAGCTATACCTCCAAAAACTTTAAGCATTGTAGAAGTTGAAGAACTTAGTACAACTTTGAACAACTAATGAAACGAAGGCAGCTCCAATCATGAGATGTCACCGCTCAGATTCTGAAGTCGAACAGAATATAAATTCCATGAACAAATTCAGCTGATGAACATTCAAAACATGAACATTCCTTCTAAGGAAATATATAGTTTGAAGTGTATTATTATTGTCCACTGTCTGTTCACCCGATGAATGCACTCTTTGTTGCACATGCACACAAATTATTGCCTTTACGTTCTTCACAATCAAGCACTGTCTACCCTTCAACACACACATTTATTTAGCTGTGCTTTCATTACCTTAAAGGAGCACTCTATGTACTATAACCACTATAGTTTTATGTAGCAGTTATGTGGCCTAGAACAGTGGCTTTCATCTAGCGTGTCATGGCACAGTTGTGTTTTTCGGGACCCCGGTGAGTGTGCCACAAGCAAATTCACTTCAGGGATGAACAGCTTGAGCGCAGTCCTTAACATGTGTTTTTTGTTGGTGTTTGTTTTAATAAAAATCACCATTGAAATTGTTTTTTTCTATCTGTTTATTTAAATTAATAGATCACGTTGGCCAGAAGTATGAATATCTCTTCAGTAAACCTAACGTCGGGTTATTTTAGTAGAAGCTCAGAATGCGGTAATATACATTAAATGCAAAACTAAAGCAAATAAACAGTCATGATAGCTTAAGGTCAGTCCAGCAGCATAAGTTCATAAGCAGAAAGTCAGGCAGTAAAGTCAGGTAATAGGAGGTGACTATCAAGGAACACTGGTGTAGCAGTAGGGGAGCACAGTACAACTCAGCTAAGTAATGATGGGCAACTGGCAATTAAATAAATATTACATAAGGAGGGAGAGCGGCATCCCCAGTCATCTCTGCTCTAGCCAAAGAGAGCAGCATTTGGGCCGGTGTGTGAGCAGTGGTATCTGTACAGATACTGCGTGATCACTCCCAGCGCCTGGAAGAGCACCACACATGGAGCTGCTGAGGAGGAACGGCCAAGCCAACCTTTGCCAGAGAGTTCAGTGTGTACTGGTGATGCACCTTGTGGAGCAAGGGGCAAGACATGGCAAGGGAATGTAAGGTAAGCCATGGGATCTTGACACCTACTGGTAGATGGTATATATATCAGCTGTTGATTAAGGTAAAAAGAAAAAGGTTGGAGTGCCTTGAAAATTATCTTATCAAAGCATACCTTTGTCAAAGAAAGATTGGTAACACTAGCATATAGTGCGCCAAATCCCCAGTTATTGGCGAACAGTTAGGAATGGTCATGTATTAATCACGGCTCTTCTCACTGCCTGATCGCAAACTACAAAAGAGATAATCAGACCCTAACAATTACACAGCACCAACTAGCAAGATAACCAAAAATTCATTGATCAAATTACAATACCCCAGTCGGAAACAGACCAATTCCTAGTCAGGAGAAAAGAAAACAAGTTATGCATATACAAAACCAAAATGCATTAGATGGCTAGTTCAAGTAGTTATGCTTTTCGCCGTCTGCACAAAAAATTGTGACTGAAAGAAAGGTACACTAATCTTTTTCTCTTACAAATATCTACATGTAGACTAAAAGTGATGCTGCCAATCAAGCAGGCCATCCCTCGGAGGGGGAGGGCAACTATTAATGATAAGCAAATGGTTTGACTACTTACATTGAGGTGGTGCCAGAGTACACCTGACACCATAATCACTACAACATGCTGTGGTGGTTATTGGACTTGGAGTGTTCTTTTAAAAATTTGAGTTATTCACGTTGACCTATCTTCATTTCTGTACTTGCAGACCCACAAATGCCACATTCATATTCGCTGTCATCTTGTCACACAAGGATGTAAAAGAGTACTTATAAATTAATAAATGAAACTAGAATTTTAATGTTCTAGCCTTTAAGGATTAGTCTAAAAGAAGCTAGCGAAGAGGATGAACTGTCAGTGCTCCTTCATCTTGTAATAATCTTATTAAACAAAAATTGCAATCACACACATTGATAGTGACAGACGTTTTCCAGCTATTTGATGTACAAACCTGACTGGTAAACTATGGGAACCGAAGTAGGATAAGTGCCGTGTAATTGCTTGTTAGTTTAAATGTTTAATGTTCAAATTAAAGATGCTGTGACTTCATTCCATGGAAGATGAGTCAGCAAAGGACTAAACGAATAATCACTCTTATGAGGTTATAATAGTGAAAATAAGTACATTTAAAGAGAATTTCTAATTAAAGCCAAACTGAGAGCACAGCTGACTTTTTACTTAAATTTGGAATTCACTTTGAATTCTCACCTTAGTAAATAACTCTGTTAATGTACAATCAAAAAAAGTAGTAGAAATTTTTTTTTTATATAAAAATAGTTAAATAGTGACCTAAGGAATAATACTGTCTCACTGATAGGATTATTCACTAAGGTGTAAATTGTGAATTCAAAATGAACTTCATATTTTAAGTCGCAATGAAAAGAAATCCTGCAAGTCCGGTATATCTTCTGTCCGGCTATTTTTACAAGAGATTATAAATTCCTTTGAATTCAATTAGAAATTTTGCCAATTCACACTTTAGTGAATAATATGGTAAATATCAAAGATTATCAGTCTGGTAATCCAGTTCAAAAATACATCTGCATGAGAGGCCCAGTAATACCTAGCAATCATTTTGCGGGTCTTGTTGGGAGCTATGGGATAGGGACAGGTTGACGGGATAGATTGACAAGCCTTTCCGAGGGGTGTCGCCAGTGAAGGGATGTGTCAGCCAGGCTTGCCACCAACTGACAGGACCATGCTGACAAGATTTCTGAATGGTTCTGGTGCATGTTGCACAGTGCAGGCACATCTAATGATGCATTTTTGCTGTGCTGTCTTAAAACAGTTCTCTGGTGTCTAGGAATGTGATATACCAGTGAACTAAATCAGGACGGTGGGACAGGACACCGAAACCGTGACTGTCCTGCGGAAAGTGGGACAGTTCAGAGGTCTGGTTATGGCTAATAATCTTCCAGAGACAGTGAACAAACAAAATCTCTACTTCTGGAAATACTCTTCATTCTTAGGGACATTCCCTAAAAGTAATGCCCAGTATATAGCGGAGGGTTACTGCAGTACCCAGAGAAAATCAAAATACACACTTTTCCTATTGTGCTGCTGCCACCGTCCTCTGCAGCTCCAAGCAGGGTAAAGTAATCCACATATAAATACGGACACATAAATAATGGGATAACCAGAAACGTTTGTACCTTATGTCCTTGTAAATAAATCTTTTTGTAGCACTTGGTGTGCACATTTTCAATTGTTTGCGCTGCCCTCGTTTTTTTTTATTTTTGGGGATTCCCTAAAAATAATGATGATGGTTTTGTTTGGTTTATACCAAGTGATCCAAACTCAAATGGTCCCACAGTAGAAATGTTGGGCCTTCACCAGATGTTTGTATCTTGGGAAACACCCCATAAATGTATAGGTCTGTACAATATCAATGACCTATAAGGCCTCCAGAAAAATGTAGTTTCTGCCGGAGCAAATCTTCCAGTCAGAGAAAAGGGGGCAGAAATTAGGGGGCTTTAAGTTAAACAGGGACCTAAGCAGAACAAGTCAGTGTACAGCACAGCCAATCACATTACTCTACCATGTTAAAGCTGTACAGACGTGGCATTCTTCATGTAGCAATCTTTTCACCACCATCAGGTCTATTAGTCATGTCACTTTCCATTTTATTTAAAGCAGCAGTTTAAGTTAAAATGTTAGACAGATTTATAGAAGACTGGGGAAATAAGAAGAGCAAAATCCATGAGGTGGAGTAATGGAATTTCCAGGAAAAAAAGAAAAAAAGTCCTAAACACAGAATTCTGTGTGAACTGCATCCAAAATAAAATATAAAAGGTTTGCTATATAGGGGTCATCTTAAAGGCAAATATGATGATGGTCTCTTTAACTATAAATTATCTTTAAATGTATTTCACTGAACATTGATTTTATGGTCCCGTATCGGCGTTTTATCTGTGTTTTGGCAACAGTTTATCATGTAATCATAGAGTTACTTTGTTAATGGACAGTCAAACTGCCAGAATATAAGACGGAGAAAAAAAATGAAAAACAGGAACGATGATTCACATTTATAAAAATATGACAAAGGGGGAACATTATGTGAAAAATGTCTGAAGTATATAAAACAGGTTCATTTGGATTGATAGTGAAATATGAGAGACAGAGACAGAAGACGATTTAACCTGATACAGTATAAACTTCAGACAATACCAAACAAGGAAAAATGTTGGAAAATAAAATGGAATGAAAGCCTACAGGTGAAAGTCACTTGAGACAATGTAAACCTTTGCTAGACAAGATTATATCAATATGCCTGCACAGGAGGCAGAACTTGCATGTTGCATACACAAATGGAGTCAGGCATCTGAGCCTCGGCAGCAGGCATAGACTAGGCCACTAGATTGGCTGCTGGCTAATCCTTCAGGGCTCACTTAAAAGATTAGAGGTGGGTGGAGCTAAGATTCTCTGAACTGGGTAAGGAGTTTAGGAGCATTCAAACAAGCACAGACTTTTAATTCACTTCAATCTCCAGCTGTCTGCTCATGCAGCTGCAGGGAACTTAAAGAGAGTGAAAGTAGAAAGAAAGGAGGAACAGAAAGGCACAGTCGTTTCTAATAACACTATAACCTGCTAAAAGAGGGAAACTGATTATTTTTTGTGATTTTTTTTTTCTTCAAAAAAGGCTTTTTCCCCCCCCTGCTAGTTCTCTGCAAAATCATTTTTGAAACGTAACCAAATAATCTGCAAGTGCATTCATGAATTGAGTTTTGGGATTTTGTCTCAGTTTTCTTTTTTTTTCTTCTTCCTGAGGTTTTGGTGCAGTTATGCATTTCCAGTGGAATATTGTGGCTTGGGCACATTCCCTTCTTTTCGGGTTTATTGTATGGGGTTCTGCAGAAGAGTACGATTATTACAGCTGGCAATCGGACAATTTCCAGAACGGACGTTTTTACACCAAGCAGAGTCAATGTGTGGACATTCCTAGTGATCTCCATCTCTGCCATAATGTCGGTTATAAGAAAATGCGATTGCCTAATTTGCTTGACCACGAGACCATGCCTGAAGTCAAACAGCAGGCCAGCAGCTGGGTTCCCCTGCTGGCAAAACGATGCCATCGAGATACGCAACTATTCCTCTGTTCACTCTTTGCTCCCATTTGCTTGGAAAGGCCAATATACCCCTGCCGGTCACTGTGTGAGGTTGTGCGTGATAGCTGTGCCCCGGTCATGGAATCCTACGGTTTCCCTTGGCCAGAGATGTTGAACTGTAATAAATTTCCTCTCGATAATGACCTGTGCATTACTGTGCAGTTTGGCAGCAAACAAGTTACGCAGCCACCAGGTAAAAAAATATATTTCTTTTCTCAAAAGATTAAAAAAAAATCAATACTAAAAAAAAAAAAGAAAAACTGCTTTTATTGCAAAGCCTTACTTAAGACATATGAAACGAATACAAATAATATCAGTTTTGTTGCAAAGAAAACAGCAATAGTTTGTAAGTTGTAAAAACAGAGTTTTATTTATAGAAGCATTGTTAATGTTGGGACTGTGGTTTCGTTAAGTAACTAAAACCAGTTAATTATTTAAAGTTTTCCTTTGTAACAAAATGTAGCAAAATTCAGCTGTTTTGTCCCTTTGCCATGTTAATGTTAGATGGGACTGTAAAATATGAATGAGTTTCTGTCATATGCGTTTCTCCATCCTTCTCTGCCGCATTTAGAAACAGGTGTATATGACTGATCAAATATATCTACAAACTGTACAAACGTATAATGTGCATCTGTACACTGTTTGCATAACCAAAAATGTTGCATCTATTTAATAATGCAAATAGACAGACAGATAGGTTCAATATCAAATGCACTGCTAATCTCCTAAGGTTGTTCAGACTATCCCTAAAATGGCCATTGTACGGGAAGAGGTAAATGCATTTTTATTTTTTTTAGGGTAAGGAGTGATATATGAACCTTTACTATATTAGACCCACTGTTATATGGCCATATAAAAAGGATTTGTAATTGCTTAATAGTGTGATATAGCAATGAAAGCAATCAGTAAATTAACAAGTTGTACCTGGATAATAGCATGTTTGTGACAGCACATGTTTTTAATGTACAGCACAATTCTGTCTGAGTAACCTTTGTGCTTATATCTTTCGAGTGTCAGATAACGCTGCTGTGACAAATCACTCCAGCACTGAAAGGGTTAGTGATTAATGCTGTTTGGACATTGAGTCGTTTTACAAGAGCAGGAGAAAGCGAAGTTTGTTAGGATTTTTAGTTATTTCTCCATATAAAAGCTACAGTATTTTCTTGGTATTCCCTTCAGTGGGGTGGCTGTTACTGCTCTGAATGAACCATTTAGGGTAAATATTATAGAGAAAGGAGAAAGAATAATAAAGGCACAAACTCTATAAAGAGTATACAAAGACATACTGTCCAATTATTATATCAGTAGGAAACCGTAGCTGCAAGTAGGAAATTCAATTGCTGGCTGTGTGGATTCATTTCTTTTAAAGAACAATGTACGGAACTCTAATCCTAGCTCCGGAGCATAACATGGTACCATTTCATTTAACCTCCGTTGAATAGGATTGAATTGACTTAATTTAAACTTTACTATCATATCCTTTTGGCACAGATGATAAGAACCAGAGTTTGCATATTTCATTAACATGTTAAGTGAGAGAACCCCAGTCAGTGTTGTGAAACGCTAGCTTTCAATTTTTTGATTTTGCAAATTCCACATGTAAGTAGCTTGGTCTTTTGATTGCTACAAGAGCAAAGGGCTGTGGAATGCTTGTAATCATATTTACTTAGCGCAGTTGTAATAATCACCCCCCAAAGAAAACGCATTATAGTAATGACATTATTTTCTGAATAGATAAGAGAATGAGGACACTATTCTGCAAAACTTTAATAGAGCAGTCAAAGAAGTGGCAGCTTATGTATTTGTTATGGTTAAATTAGATTTTAATTTTGTTTGTATTGCATTGTTCCGGTTTTATTTACACGCAGCACATGCACCTAATACATTGGAAACATGTGGGGAGGAGGCTTTTTAACCCTTCCATAGCTGGTTATGTGACCATTGCAATACTCACCTTTTTGACATTAAAGGGTTAACCATGTATTTTTTTTCTTTGAGGTAGAAAGTAACACAATACAATTTTTTTTACAGAATGATAGAACAAAATAAATAATAATCAGGGATTTTGTAGTGACGATATTTTTTTTTAGCAAAAAGTAGATTCTTGTCAAATATTAGCAAACCCATGGAATGATCCTAATGATTGCTCTACAAAACAATTCTACATGCAGAGCCCTCAAAGTGTGAGAACATACCAACTCAATCACATTAATTCTTTACATTGAAAAATGCTGACCTATCACTTCTAATACAATGAGAATATGCATAAAGACCATTTCTGAGATAAAGAAAGGTTATGTAAAAGTAATAAATCTAAAGCATTAAACATTTAGAGTTTTTTTTTTCATGTCCTATGTTGACGTCATCATTATTTAATCGGTTATAAAATGTTATCTTTATTGATCTCGTATTGCATTGTAACTTGTTTAATTTAATTTGGGGTGGATTCCAAATTATGATTAGTGAAAGGATGAGTAGAATGTTACCAGAAAATGTTACTAGAAGTGTAGGAAAATTGAAATGTTTATTGCAAAATCCTGTTTCTCCTTGCTGTTGAAAGCTTGTGAATAATGCATATTTGCAACAACACATAAAATGCATTGTTAGTACATGCAAAGATGCACATATTTTATGCAAGGGCATTTACTAAATAGGGCATTTTCAACTGACTTACAAAATCTATAGCAAATTAGCAAAATTGGAAAAACTTTGCAATTATGCTCGCAGTCAAAGTATTTTTGAGACAGGTGAAATCAGTTAACATTTTAATTTTGGGTGGTACTCTAGATAAATATATCATTGATATTGTCCTCAAATTTACCTGTACCGTAAAATTCTATATTTTATATTTTTGACTAATATCTGATTCTTTCACACCACTGAGTTTTCAACTGATGTAATTTTTCTACTCATCCTGTGCAAGTTAGTCTTCTTAGCAAGTGCATTGCAAGTCACGTGTTTTAGATATAGGTTTAAGTTTTGCACAAACCTCCGAAATGACCTGCCTTCAAAGGAATAGGTCCAGGTCTCCCATCTGAATCCAGAGTTTGTCATTTTTTTTTCCCTCTCGTGCCCCACTGCTCAAGATAACATTCGCACTCTGTGCACGTGCAGGTGGTTGATTAGTGGTTGACCCTTGTAATGTTCCTCACTTTATTACTCAAGTCATTCCGAATGTTGGCTATTCTTAACATTACCACAAAATGGAAATGGACCAAAGGGCAAGAAGAAAAGGCCTGGCTGTTATCAGTAACTCTGCGAATATTGTACAAATTGTTCTTAAATCAGGTATAGCCAATGGGTAACACTCGTCAGGTTACTATTCCTAAGATTGGTTTTGGCTCGGAGAAGCTAGCTAAGGGTCCAAGGAGGTTTAGTGCATCTATAGCTGGAGCTATCACTACCTTTATACACTACTAAAATCTTTATTAATATTGTTCAATAAACTTTCCAAATTATTTAATATTTTTGCAAAAAACTATCAATCTTACATGTAATAATAATAATAAGAAGAAGAAGAAGAAGAAGAAGAAGAAATTGTCTGATACTTTAATATGTTGAAAAAAATTATTTTAAAAGTTTATCCCAAAATATTAAATTATTTGGAAAACGTATCCAAGAATATTAAATTGAGGCCTAAGTACATTATGTTCCTTGGCTGCAAGTTAAATCACAGTCTTTAGATCAGGGTAGAGCAGGTAACAAAATAAGTCCCATAATGCAACAACTGGAGAGCACATTTTGCCTACAACTAACACATAGACTATTTTGATGACCTCATCACTGTAAAGGAACATTTAAAGCACAAGAACTACTACACTTGTTGTGGTGGTTATAGTATCAAGAGTTTCCTGGTACTATGTGGCTTTAGCAAAAGTCACATTAAAAAGTCACATGTAAAGCACTATAACTACTACACTTCTGGTGGTTATAGTATCAAGAGTGTCCTGGTGCTGCTCCATTGTAAGTAATCAAACCATTTTTAAATGTTTTCACTTCGTCCCTGGGAATCCACCGAGCCCTGCTATACGCCTTCACTAATAACACCAGGTGCTTTGGACACATCTCTGAGCGAGTCCCTACAGTGTTTATTAGTTTCTTAACTGGACTGCATTGTTGGCTCACCTAAGAGGTTTGCCTTGATGGCAGGGGAGCTTACACTTTAATGGCCATCTTAATGGTAATAAAACATATTTAAATCTAGGATTTAGGATAGTGTGCTGGTAATTTTTGTTTCATTATGTTCAATGTAGAAATGCAGTTTGTAGGTGCCTGATTTTAGTGTAATCATTTAGTGCATGTAGTGTTTGAAGTATTTTGACTCACTACCCCCATCTTTACCATGCTCATTTAAAATAAAATGGTCATTCATTAAAAAAAAAGTCACATTAAAAGCCACGACAGGTCCCTCAATGAGCCATGCAAACAAGTGCCATCTCCATCAGGTGGAAAGTGCAGTCCTATTAGAAAAATTCCTTTTGTTTCAAATTAAGAATGATTTTATGATATGTCTAGGCTATTGCCATATACCCACAAACACATTTCAGAATTCTACACCATAAAGGCATAGCATACAATATAGAAGAACAGGATTGTGTGATCCACACATAAATGCCAAGTTGATATGTTACATTTTTGGATCATACCAGGCTCTCCCGCCGTCTGGTTGGCACACCACAGACAGGAGTGGCAGAAGTCTATCATGCACCACAAGCCTAAATAACATCTTAAAGCTGTAGGCTGGTTTGAGGATCAGAAGATATTCACTTTAGAAACAGCCTTTGTCTTATTTAACTCTCTAATTCAATTGAATTAAACCATGAAAGGAAGCTAATAATGCAATCTGAGTCTACAGTAGAGAATAAACCATAAGTTCTATGCATATTGGCCCACCAGGCAGTGCCCCCTAACATGGCCAAACAAAATAACAAAAACATGGAAGCTCAAAATAAACACATCCTTCAAATATTATGTAATTTATAGGAAAGCGCCTTATGGGTGAAAGGGGTTTGCAGAGGAGGAAATGTGACTTACTTAGTAAGGGGGAAAAAGTGACTCTAGTGGAGAAATGAGGAAGGAAATATACCTCGGGCAGTGAAAAAAAGGTAGCTAGAGAAAGAGAGAGAATGCGACTGGTTGCCAGGAAGAAAGTGTTCGGTCCCCGCTCCTCTGCCTTGCGCTCATATGCCACGTCTCCCTCTCTATACACTGAGACAAGGTCTTGGTGGTAAGGTATGTATTTTGCTGAGGATAATAAGATTTGCAAATGGGTTAATGTTCCAGGAGGGATAAGCCAAGTGGCAAATGATTTACGTAAACTAGAAAAATGGTCAGAGCTGTGGCAGCTGACATTTACTGTGGATAAGTGCAAGATAATGCATCTTGGACGTAAAAACCCAAGGGCAGAGTATAGAATGTTTGATAGAGTCCTAACCTCAACATCTGAGGAAAGGGATTTAGGGGTGATTATTTCTGATGACTTAAAGGTAGGCAGACAATGTCATAGAGCAGCAGGAAATGCTAGCAGAATGCTTGGTTGAATAGGGAGAGGTATTAGCAGTAGAAAGAGGGAAGTGCTCATGCCATTGTACAGAACACTGGTGAGACCTCACTTGGAGTATTGTACACAGTACTGGAGACCGTATCTTCAGAAGGATATTGATACCTTTAGAGAGGGTTCAGAGAAGGGCTACTAAACTGGTTCATGGATTGCGGGATAAAACTTACCAGGAAAGGTTAAAGGATCTTAACATGTATAGCTTGGAGGAAAGACGAGACTGGGGGGATATGATAGAAACATTTAAATACATAATATGTTTTTCTTTACTTAATAAACTCAGCGGAATTGAGAGTTTTCTTAAATTCATTATCATACATAGCCATTCTGCACAATATGCTTACAATTTCTAAATAATAGATAATAATCCATCTATAACAACTATTTTCCTTCCTGCCACTTTGCTGAGAGTTCAGTCTGTATCTTGTTAAGGATGGATAAATATTTTCAAAAGATTCCCAACAGAACTCTCCCCGATTTGTATTCATATACCTGAACATCCGCCCATTGGGATCTTAAATAACATGGAAAGACTGCTGCAGTATGTCCCCTGTGTTTGCAGGAATCTGGAATGAATATGAAAGCATGAGGTAAAATAGACACTTTTCACTAAAAATATCAATGGTGTCTATTGCTTTTTGTTATTCAGAGGAACAAGTTTAACATTTATTGGCCAGCAGTAAGTTAAAAATAGCCTTGTCCATTAGTCACATAGAAGTCATCTGAAGACCACTTGGGTCAAGCTGTAAATTTTACAGTCTGATATTTCGGCCTAAATGTCATAATCTTGTTTTCAGTCCACCAGGAACAGTTATAGGCCAAACTCGTTTTCCTGGCACTATAGGGTTATTAGGTCCCCCCGATCCTCATGGCCCCTCTCCCGCTGGGCTGAAGGGTTTAAAACATCTCCAGCCACTTACCTTTCTCCAGCGCTGGGGAACTCTCCTGCTCCTGCCGACGTCATCGCGCGCGCATTCAAACCGCCCATAGTAAAGCATTACTCAATGCTTTCCTATGGACGTCAGTGTCTTCTCGCAGAAGTGCCTCTAGCGGCTGTCAGTGAGACAGCCACTAGAGGCTGGATTAACCCTCAATGAAACATAACAGTTTCTCTTATACTGCAATGTTTACAGCTGCAGGGTTAAAACTAGAGGGACCTGGCACCCAGACCACTTAATTCAGCTGAAGTGGTCTGGGTGCCTATAGTGGTCCTTTAACGTTTTGGTGAATATGTTACCTTGAAAGTAGCAAGTATACAGTTTAAGTTCAGGTGGGGAAAAAAATGTATAATACATATAATGAGGATCCTGTCCAGCTGGGCAAAAGGCTCCCCTAACAGTAACAATAGAAAAAGAAGTCCAGCACAGTCCCAACCTTAAAATGATTCAAATGTCGTAGGTAGCAAATCAGGTGATAAATCAATCAGGAATCCTACAGCATATTTATTCTACATATTTCATGGCATAATTTTCATGTGCTGTCAGTCAACATGGTGAAATTCGGTGTCCACAAGGAAAACTTGGCGGATATGGCAACATTATCTGTAAAAATTGTAAACAAATGCAGCTTTTCAAATGCACACCATATGGATAAAACAAGCAGATTAACATAAAATGGGACTCATTACTTAGTACATAACATATTCCCTGTGATATTGTTTTTTTATCAGGCAATCGTGGTCTTTGTTAGAACATTAAGTAGCAATTTATGTCCCCTCTCTCTCCGCCTGTCTCCTTTAAAGGTTCTCTCATATTATTACATTATTTAAAATTACAGGTAACAAAGACAGCTCTTTGTGCATCAGGAAAAAAACACTAGATACTGAAAAAATAATCTTGCAGTATTGTTCTCATTTCAAGCACTGAATGTTTTAAATTCAGTTCTGGTAAATATATGACAATATTCAAAGATTGATTTAAATATTCACCAGTCCATATCAAATATTAATAGTATAAATGTGTTATAAAACAAAGGCTAATGAATTGCTCCCCCAAAAAATCTGATTAGAGTAAATTCAATATATACAGCACAAATTAAATTAAAAATATCACGGCTGATGACATTTTTTTTCTCTATATTAGTTTTTATTAGTTTTTATTCTACAACAATTAACTAAGAGACATCTATCACGACGTGTGTCACCATACAAAATGAATCATTGTGTGTCAACTTGTGATTAAACCAATTTTTCATGCAAGATTATTGCAACATATTTATGTGTTCTATCAATCTCTACAGTGGTCACTGTATGGATGTATTTTATGTCTTGCTTCTGAACAAGTTGCAGAATTAAGTAAGTCTGACCACATGAATTAATAAGCTGGTCAAATAATCTGTATCCAAAGCTTTTATTTTATTTTATTCTTGAGTATAGGCAACCATAACTAGAATATAGAAATGAAAATAGGATATAAAAAAAGGTTAATAACTGTGGTATAGGTACAAGATACATCGGAATTCATTAAATGTACAATAGTGTAAGCCATGGGTATAGACTCCATAGACTGATGAAACATTGGGTGATCCATTCATTGATCACAAAGCTGGCCCAGGTATATTCATTAATATTATTTTGGGCATTTATATACTGCCAACATATTCTGCAGCACTTTACAATATTATAATTTGGGGAATTTAAAAATTACAGAAATAATTTTAAAAGAAATACAGGAATAATAGATTGATGAGTATTTTGTAATTTTCCAAAATTATCTTTGGTATTCAGTAATATGTATAGTCCAAAAGTATTTTCAGACTTCAAGTAATCATCAGTGACAACCACTTTTGAACGAGAAGTGGTGGACTCATTCCGTTTTTCTTTTAATTGCTGTTACCTTGGTGATAGAACGTCCCAAGAGGTGGGGGCTTTCAACCACTATATTGAAAATGTAGTGCTGGTTGCTACTTTTACTCTAACTCCTCTTAAAGTTAAGATACTCACTCAAGTATGTCTAGCCAACAGGCCAACATCCAAAACTGTTACTGTCTTTTGTCAAGTTTGACCCTACTGTGTTCAATGCAAACTATTCTGAAAGCTGGCTCCAAACTTGGAACAAACTCCCACTGACATGTTTATTATGTCTTGTTTCACCCATGTTAAGTTCCAGGGTATCAGAACAGAAGCCAAAACAATCTTCTGGAGTTGTTAAATCTCCTTTACGTAGAGGACAAGCCTGGTATTTGACTAGATTGCTCTCGTGGGAAGGGAAACTGTGGGAATGTTTATAGCTAGTGCTAAGCTACTGCTTCTCAAAGTCCTCCTAAGCAGGAACTATCGTAGTACGTGCTACTGCTGTCTTTCACAGTTTTTGTTTCTTACACTATCTGGTTATTCACTAAAGTGAAAATTCAAAGTAAATTTCAAATTTAAGGACAAAGAAGCAGAAATGGAAGCACAGCGGACTTAGAGAAATTTTTAAATTTCTGCTAATTGTACCTTAAATTTGAAATCCACTTTAAACTAATTTTATACTCACTTGTGAATAATCCTACATGCTTTTGAAATCAATTGAAAACTGTCTATGTACAACTACTCACAACATGTAAAATAGAAATCGTATCATTTTGGGTAGGGATGGCTGCTGTCATCTAATCCATCTATTTCTGAATGTCATATTGGGAGAGGAGGACATTTTGCCAGGATAGTGTATAGAATAAAAATATATGTTGCAGAAGATCTAGTAGACAATGCAAATCACTGAAGAAGAGACCAAAGTTACTTTCATGAAAAATCTCATGTTTGGTGTGCAAGCTTTGCACAGCCTAGCTAGAAGACTTATGCAAATATTTATTTGAGTTAGTTCATATAAATCCTTTAATCTACAACCAAATTATTCAGTTTGCTGAACATTTACATGTGGAGTATCTACATGTAAATCCCAGGTGAATCTATTCATTCACTTTTTGCAAAGACCCCTGATGGTGACATTATTGCTGGGGGTCCGCTGGCAAAGGGGGCAGACAAAGGTTTAATTTACTTGAACCTGTCCCTCACAGGTGCTGCAATCTTCTTCTGGCCATCCCTCTTCTGTTCCTGGCACCAGGAGCTGACATCACTGTTATACGCTCGTGAATGTGCAAGTATACAGCTTTGAGGTCTATGGAGAGACCCATAAGATCACAAAATGCTCCATAGACAGAGCCAATTCCATGCAGTCATCACTGGTGATGGCTGGGGATGGTCACTTCAAGACAGCTGTTGCTCAGCCCAGTGTCTAGAAGTGTCAGGCACAGAAAAAAAAATATTGAGACAAAGTAATCACTACTTTGTCTCAGTATATTTTTTGAGTGAAATTCCAACACAGTCAATATGAGTATTTCATAAAGTATTTTATAAAGAGTATTTCATACATTTTATGAATTACTATTTTTATGGTGGGGGGCTGTACTATGTGTACTGTGCTCTATTGTTTTACTATATTTATGGGGTGTAGGGGGTTGGTCTGTAGTTCCTTTATATTTAACGTCTGGTGAGGAACTCTCAGTGTAAAAGAAAAACATACATCCAATGAGGTTGTTCATAGTGGGAGAGTAATATTAGTTTCAGTACTTGGAAACCATTGAAAGACCTGAATAATTTATGAAGTATTTTCCCACCAAGGCAATGTTTTACATTGGTCAGGTTTTATATTTAATGAAAAGTGGCCTTACACTTTAACCTCCAAAGCATTATCTAAGTACTTTCCAAAGCTTGCAATGATAAGTCCGAGTATAAAAGAAGCATTGGTAGAAATAAGTAATGAAAACATTTTAGACGGCTGAGCTCATTAATAGTCTTGCAGGAGCTTTTAGTGTAAATTATTTTCATAACTGTGTCTAGATAAGTGTAAAGACATTAAACTGTAATTTTTCAAATATTTCACCGCGTGGCCAAAACTTTCAGCTCCTTACGAAGTTTGCTGTTAATTCTGGATTGAAAGAAGAAAGTTGTTATGAGTCAGAAATCTAAACAAAACCATCAACGATTTCTTTTAGGTTTACCGTGCCAAAAGCTTCCAGTGCCACGAAATTGTGTCTATAAATTAGCAGCCAGTGTTACTGTTTAAAGTATTTCAACACATTGTGCTAACAAAGTCGTCAGTTCTCATTTTGGCTGTGCAAAGACTATTTTGATCTAATCGAACAAATGATTGATATAAGAATAAAGATAAAAGAGCTAATTGTCTTAGTGAGCGATGAAACTATAAAGCAAACTAGTTTCACGTATTATAGTAGATTAAGAACTAAATTAATCTGAATAAAAATGTCATCTCTATTATATGTCTGTATGCTTGATATAGGAATTTGATCTTAAAATATTGTTATAAAGGGAAAGGTGGAAAAAACGTTACATAGTTACATGCCATTAATCATCAATAAATATGAAATGAAAAGAGATCAACAAATGATTACAGGTAAGTTTGGAATTTGTACATGTTGTGGTTTCGGGAATCAGAAATTTGATTTTGTAGTTGGTTACCTTGAAATTCATACTTTTATTACTTCTAAACAGTTGTCTTTGCAAATTCATTTTGAAACATTTAGATGAGCATAAGCATAGCGTCATGAACGCTTAAAAAAACAAAAAACAAAAAAAAAATAAACACAACAAGGTTGTTCAATAAAGTGAGAATTCCAAGTGAATGTCAAATGTAAGGCAAACATAACCAAATTGTAAAATTTATCTCAATCAGCTATGCTTCCAGTTCTGTTACTTTGTCCTTCAATGTGAAATTCTATTTGATTTCTCACTCTGCTGAATAACACTGAACGTTTTCTGAAATCATTTGATAAATCCATTTTTTCTTCATATATAAATACAGCTTTTTCAGAGTTTTTTTGCATACTGTGAATTGTTGGCACTGTGAATTTTTGGAAATTTCACATATTAGGTATAATATTTGAATAAGAAAATCAGGTATTGTTTCAAAGCTATGTTGGCATAAAATTTTAAATTCTTAGAAAAATTCACAGCTCCCTGTTTAATTAATAAAACTGTATCTGTAATTACCTGTGATGGCAGGACTGACATGATAGTTATAGACATTGCCAATAATTAATAGCATAAGGTATTTTTTAACGCACTGTTTACTTTTTGGACACATCTAATTATATCTATAATTAAAAAAAATATAAAAAATAAATCAAGGAATAAAGTAACATTATGAAAAAATACATTATCACTGGATATTTGAAGAGCTCGGTGTAGCTCAGGTGCATGGTGTAAATTCTGTTTGTCACACCTGTAACAGTTTTCTCTGTGAATATATGTGAAGATCTGTTTTCTTACTGATATAAAATGGTTCTTTCTTAATAGCTCACAGGCTCGCTGCCTAGGTGTTCTCTTTGACTCCTACCTCTCCTTCACCCCTCATGTCCAGTCAATCGCCAAATCCTGCCACTTATATTTTTAAAACATTCTTAATGCCAGATGCAGCTAAGGTGCTGGTCCATGTCACTTTCCTCTCTCACCTTGACTACTGCAGTACACTTCTCAGTGGTCTTACGTGCTCCCAACTTACCCCATTACAGTCTATAATGAATGTGGTGGCAAGGCTCATCTTCCTTTCCGCCCGCACCTCCCACGCCTCTGTCAGTTACTGCATTGGCTTCCCAAAAGATAAAGGGCTCAATTTAAAATTCTAGTTCTTGCTTTCAAATCTCTAAATAATGCTACTCCCACCTATCTATCCTCCCTAATACACAAGTATATCCCGTCTAGGCCCCTACGCTCTGCCGAAAGACCTACGTCTATCCTCTGTTCATACTCCCACCTCTAATGCTCACCTTCAAGACTTCTCTAGGGCTGCACCGGTCCTGTGGAACTCCCTTCCCTTTTCCATTAGACTCTCACCCAGTCTCTAAGCCTTTAAAAAATTATTAAAAGCCAACTTTTTAACTAAAGCGTTCAATTAAACTGTTAATGACTCCCAACTGATTCCTCACCTGCAACTGACATTTAAAAACAAAAAAATAAGTCTTCATTGAATACTATTCTTCCAATCTATTTCCCTAATACTACCCTTATCTTCTCTGTCACTTTACCCCACTCCCTCTAGCATGTAAGCTCATTGAGCAGGGCCTTCAACCACTCTGTTCCTGTGTGTCCAACTCGTCTGGTTACAATTACATGTTTGTTAGTTCACCCACTGTAAAGCGCTACGGAATTTGTTGGCGCTATGTAAAAATAATAATAATAGCTTTTAGTAGTGGCAGTTTTTGTGAAGACTTAATGTTCATTCAAGAAAATGTCCCTGGTTCACAGTTTCACTGTCCCAAAAGAAGCCCTTTTAATGGAGTAAATGATATGCCTGGTAGGACAGAACATATACATCTTCTATATACTTATAATGTAACTAAATATACATCATCAACATGTATACACATTGCCGGACAAGTCTATCAAGAAGTGACTCAAAACATAAGAAAGCGGAGGCTCACACAAGCGTAGCACCACTTGGAGCAGTCAGCATTATTAATGTGTTACTCAATAGAATTATCTCACAGTTCAATACTAGCTCTATAATATTGCTCTTTTACAACTGCTGGGATTTTTCTTCCCTTCTTCAGGTTTTATAACAACCAAACATGGTGCTCCGTATGAGCATTCAAAAGGTAGGAAGGCTTTTATAAAGGCTTTTCTCTCCCTGAATGTTTAGATCTCATGGGTTTATTTATGCATTGCAGTTTTGATTATCTATATTTTTTTTGGGGGGGGAGGGGGTTAGATCTTTTTCAGTTTGAACTTTTTTGGGGCTGTTTAGGATATGCTTTTATTTTGTGTTTTTAAAGTGCTGAAGAAAGAAGAATTTTTAAAAAAAAATTATTTTTCCTTTCAGACCACTTTATTATTATTATTAGAGTTAGGGGCAGATAGGGGCATGTATTGATAAAGTTGACATTCCCTACCCACTCAGTTCAGGAGTGTCAAAATTCTAATTATCCTTTTTAATGGCATTATTAAAATACCATGAGTCCAGACATGGAATGAAATTCTGTTTTGTTTTTCTTTCAGTTGAAGCAGAAAATCTCAGTCAGACCATTAGTTCATCTGATTCTGCTATCACTTTCCAGCTGTCTTGAGTTAATCACAAATATCAAAGGGCACTTTTGATATGGACACATGTCTGGCAAGGTTTGCCTGTTTATCTGAATTGTATGCTCACTTGGCAATCACCCAGACCTTTGAAAGAAGTTGTGGAATTTTAAAATGAGTATCTTCTTGCAGGTAATGAGAGTACCTGCTTAATAAAACATGATAGCTTCCCCGAGAGAAGAGCCTTAAAATCTTAAAAAGTTTGTAATATTTTAGATTAACGTATAAATCTCAAACTAATATATTTGGTGTCCTCAGGGCTGGATTTACCATTAGGCAGAGTAGGCACCTACCTACCGGCAAAGGAAGCAACAGTTTTCAACACAATCTGAATTTATAGAGCTTATGTGGACTGGTAAAGAGATAGGAGTACCAGGAGCCTTGACCAGTGTTCTCTGTAGCCCAGTCAGCTGCCTATGCTTGATAGCAAAGCTGTAAGAGTAGAGATAGAGAGTGCAAACTCATTGCTGTCCAGCTCCTCCACCGTTTGTTTGTGCGAGGCTGGACAGGAAGTGGAAGGGATCACTTTGCATCTGCCCACTAACAGCCTTTTTCACATGGGAAATGCCCTGCAGGAGGAACAAGGATAACTTGAGTGAGCTACACAATGAAATGCAAATCCAGCTCTGGATGTTCCATACGCCCCCCAATAAAAGTTATACTACTTTGTCAGAGGAAGTCAAAATCCTAACATCACACAAATAACAGCAAGTTTTTAGCACTCCTCAGATGTGCACAACATTTTCCAAGATGTATAAGATCATTGCGGACATTGTTTATAAAAGGGGATAACTTGTGCAAGGTCAATTGACACTGGACACACCAATTGGTTTATTCCTTGATCGTTGACACCCACTGGCTTATTTTAAATCAATGACCATCCCTTCCATTACTGTTTGTAGATCCCCCTTTTCCTTTTTTATCTATATTATTTTGTATTTACCCAAAGTGTTACTGTTTCCTTGTAAACGTCATGTTTATCTGTATAAAGGGCAGTTGATGAGTCTTTGAAAACAATTCATCTCCTAAGGGAACCACTTGTATTGGCAAATTCACTATGGGTACATTACTAAAATAATTTCCAATGCAGTCCTTCACCTGTTGACATGCTTCCTTATGCAGACCACCTATGTGTCTAGCAGCTGTGTTTTGTCTAACTGAATTCTTTCTAATAGCATTAACACTGGTTACTGAGCATCTATGCATTTAAGATAAAACACATTAGTCAATTATCTGGTGTATCAATCTAGTGATGTTGCACTTACATGAGTAGTCATTTTATAGCCTAGGCAAACTCAAATGAATGGTAGAAATTGTTGGAACAATTTTTGTTTTTGCATATAGTTCTAGGGAAATTTATTATTTTAAACACCCACAATTATGTTTAATAAGCATTTATTAAGTGTTCTTGCATAGCAAGACCACTTAATGTTATCTCACATATATATTTAAGTGTTCTTGCATAGCAAGACCACTTAATGTTTTCTCACATATATATTATTCTTATTATAGCCAAATTTACCTCCCTAACTCCTCCCACAGTTTTTACACTACATAGACAGAAATATACTGAAACGTGCAGATTGTTCCCGATTGGATTGCTATTACTTTATGGAACACTTCGCCGAATGGTTCACGGAATATCGTCGTTCTTGTGGCGAAATGGTTCCCATAGGAATGAATGGGAAAATGTTCAAAACTAGAGTGGGAGCTGGCAAAAGCTGAAAAATCAGGACATGATTTCTAAACTGCCACCACTCCCTCATTTTCAAGCCCACCTACACATATCTAATATCCAGGGCTGCCATCAGAAATTTTGGGGCCCCTGACACAGCTCAAGGTCTGGGCCCCCCTGTGTCTGCACTCGAGTCCGCCCAAAGTGCTGCCCCCCCCCCGAGTCCGCCCACAGGGATGCAGTGTCTGCAGGGCCGGTGCAAGGATTTTGTGACATCACAATGGCCCACCCATATGATCTGCCATGTTAACTAACACCAGTGTTGCACTGCCGCCGTGTTTACATTAAAAGGCCTGCAGGGACAGGCTATAGACACCAGAACCACTACATTAAGCTGCCCTCCCTCAAATTTCCCTCCTCTCCCCCCCTCAAATTTCCTTCCTCTTCCTCCCCTCCCACAAATTTCCTTCCTCTCCCCCCCCCTCAAATTTCCTCCCTTCCTCTCCCTCCCTCCCTCAAATTTCATTCTCTCCCCCCCCTCAAATTTCCTCCCTTCCTCCTCCCCCTCCCTCAAATTTCCTTCCCACTCTCCTCCCCTCCCTCCAATTTCCTTCCCTCTCTCCCCTCCCCTCCTCGATGTCCTCCTTCCTCTCCCACACACACACACACACCCCCCCCCCCCCCCTCAAATTTCACCCCTTCCTCTCCCCCACTCCTCAAATTTCCTCCCCTTCCTCTCCCCCCTCAAATTTCCTTCCTCTACCCCTTTTAAATTTCCTCCCTTCCTCTCCCCTCCTCCCTCAAATTTCCTTCCTCTCCCCCTGACACCCGGCGGGCGCGCGAGGGAGCACTCTCCTCTGTGTGCTTCCTCTTCAGCTCCCTCGCGCACCGCGTACTGATGCCAGCACCGGAAGATGACACCATCTTCCGGCTCCGGCATCAGTATGGTGCGCAAAGGTGTTTAAGAGGAAGCACACAGAGGAGAGTGCTCCCTTGCACGCGGGCCCGCCGGGTGTCAGCAGGGCCAGCCTCTGGGGGGCCCTGAGGTGACCGGCTGCTGGGCCCCCCAGGAGAAGAGGCTGGCCCAGTGGGTACATACCGGGGTCACAGGGCCCCCTGCGACCCGGTATGTACCCATTGAATGTGGGGCCCGGACTGCTCAGGTCGTCCGGGCCCCACATTCAGTGGGTACATACCCCCCCAGGACCGCCAGGCCCATGACAACCGTTACGGTTGTCATGCCCTGATGGTGGCCCTGCTTATTTCATAACATTTAGCTATCCCTGCTGCCACTAGAAATGTCCACGACTAAGCCATAGTCCTGATAGTTTTCACAATATGACCATTTGTTTGCAACTCACGCCGTCCATTGACATTCATTGAAACTTCACTTTAGCCAGCTCAAACTTGAAGGGCAATTTCGAAACTGTGACTGTGCTTTCATTTTTAATACTTCAGAGACATACTATGCATCAAGATGTAGGTCTGGGTCTTGTGATTCTCACAATATAAAGCTCTTCACTGTAGGATGTATAGTTTTTAAAATACGACCGTTTGAAAATGGCAATACTCTAACCTGTGCCAGGCTGGAGCAGCAAGTGATGTCATAGACAGGGCCTTTTGTACACCTGCTAATGTTTTTATAAATGTATGTTTTAATGTAACTGTGAAGCACTTTGGGCAACAACGTTGCAATTAAATGTGCTATATAAATAAATAATAACAGTTACTCCGCCCATTCCAGTTGTAGACTACTGGTGGAGGCAAGAACACTTCACACAATTTCCCCAGAAATTTAAGCTTTTCTAGTTAAACCATAATATACCTTGTATATTTTGTGCATGTATACAGCAACATGATATTAATATATAGTGTTTGTACACATATATTATTCTACCACACATTTCTAACTGTGTAATGAACAATTAAGGGAGCATTCCAGCCCCTGTATTTACCAGGAGACTTGGAGATTTGCTTTGGGCTGAACTGTTATTCGGCCGACTTTAGGCCAATCGGGTCTGTGGCGAAAGTAACCTCGCCACTGGGTTTTGGAGAGGCCTGCTTGCCAGCCTCTTGCCCTGTGACTCTGGCCCTTGGGGTGTGTGAAGAAAACCCCTGTTTTATGGACTTAATTTGACTGTTTTATCCCCCACCTCCTAGAACACCAGTTAAACCCTTAATACCTTGTTACATTCAAACAACGTCTAAACCCAATAACTGTCATATTCAAACACTGTCTGACCTTTTAACTGTCATTATGTTGTCCTGAGAGCAGGAGTTGTTATATACTGCATGAATACTGTTGCTTTGTGTGCCATTAAACAGATCTCTACCCAGCATTAAGCCTTGGCTCATGTGCTATGCTTGTGTCTACACTCTGTCTGGAAGGATTATTCGCTAACTACTGGGAGAAAGGGAACCCAAGACAGTCAGAGAGGGTTGGAACGTCACAGGGTCATCATCCAAATCCCAAACTCTGAGCTGAAATGTACCAAAATCATGGACCAACTGAACTGTGCAATGCCAAACATGTACAACTCTGAATTGTGTGATGCCAAAAAAAGAGATAATTGATGGGGAAGAAGATTGAAGACTAGGGGACATCCACTAAATTGATATTATTTCAAGTTTAAGTGAGAACTAAGCAATTAAGAGAACAAAGGATGAGCAGTTAAAATAAAAACTATATTTATATATTTATCTAATATATAAATGTAGATCTTTTCACTGCTCCTCCTGATTTTCACACTAGATCTGTGACCCAAATGGTTGGAAAATGTTCCTTTCAGCGTACTGCAAAATATATTCAAAGTATTCTACTTTGCAGTACGCTGATTGGTCCATTTTAGTTCATTTTTTTTTTTCTTTTATGGTTCCTGAATTGGAATCTCCGCTCCAAAATTCTGCTGAGCCAAACCAACATTCAACCGAAATTCAGGTTTCCAGAATTTATTTTTATTTTCGGAAACAATGTTTTGCTTGAATATTTACCAGCATGCAAATGAAGAGAATCATACATTTTTTATTAAAAATGTTTTGCTTTCAAACCGATGTATAAAGGTTTTTTCCTACCTTTGCTACAACACACACTGGCTCTGTGATCGTCCCTAAAAGTTTCTATTAAACTGAATTGCAGTTCTTATGGCGATACTGTCAGTGTTATTCAATAAAGTGAGAATCAAGGTGAAATCAATGGTTAAGTAGAATTTGGTCGAAATAGCCAAAGTAGAAAAAAAAAATAGCCCGTCTTTCTGTTTGTCTGGCTTCACTTTTAAAGGGAAACTGCCACACTGTTATGTTTAGTTAAATCTATGTTTAACAAATACACCCTGTTCCAAATTATTATGGAAATGATATTTTTCTAATTTACCTAAATAATTGATGTAAATAACAGTCAGCATAATTCTCATGTTATCAACTTTTAAGAGTACAATTCAAATGTTATTGAACAAACCTCCTAATGATAACAGTATTTTTTTAAACATAAAATGCTTACAATGCACTGTTCCAAATCATTACGCACAGTAAGTTTCAAACCACTTTACAGATTGTAAATGTTTACTGAAATCAAAAGCTATTTCAATCAAACTTAGAACAACATTTTAACTTTTTAAACAGGTCACGTTACATTTTGATATAGGACCCCTTATTTGATAGCAGCTTCACAAGTCTTGCATTCATTGAACTTGTGAGTTTTTGGACAGTTTCTGCTTGAATTTGTTTGCAAGATGTCAGAATAGCCTCCCAGAGCTGCTGTTTGGATGTAAACTGCCTCCCACCCTCATAGATCTTTTGCTTGAGGATGCTCCAAAGGTTCTCAATAGGATTGAGGTCAGGGGAGGATGGAGGCCACACCATGGCTTTCTCTCCTTTTTTCCCCATAGCAGCCATTGATGCAGAGGTATTCTTTGCAGCATGAGATGGTGCATTGTCATGCATTAGAGATGATTTTATTACGGAAAGCATAGTTCTTCCTTCTGTACCAGGGAAGAAAGTGGTCAGTCAGAAACTCCACATATTTGCAGAGGTCATAATTACACCTTCGGGGACCCTAAAGGGGCCGACCAGCTCTCTTCCCATGATTCCGGCCCAAAACATGGATGCAACACCGCCTTGCTGGCGTCGCAGCCTTGTTAGAACAAGGTGGCCGTCCACCAACCATCCACTACTCCATCCATCTGGATCATCCAGGGTTGTACGGCACTCATCAGTGAACAGGACTGTTTGAAAATTAGTCTTCATGTATTTTTCTGCCCAATGCAGCCATTTCTGCTTATGAGCATTGGTTAGTGGTGGCCGAATAGAAGGTTTATGCACAGTTGCAAGACTCTGGAGGACTCTACACTTTGATGTCCATGGGACTCCAGAGGCACCAGCAGTTTCAAATATCTGTTTGCTGCTATGTAATGGTATTTTAGCAGCTGCTCTCTTGATCCAATGCATGGATCTGGCAGAAATCTTCCTCAATGTGCCTTTATCGGCACGAACACGTCTGTGCTCTGAATCAGCCACAAATCTCTTAATAGTGCAATGAGCACACAAAAAGTTTTTGTGAAATATCTAATGCTTTCATACCTCGTCCAAGGCATTGAACTATTTCACTCTTTTTGGCAGCAGAGAGATCCCTTTTCTTCCCCATATTGCATGAAAATGGTGCTCTGCTTAATAAAGTGGAACACCCCCCTTTAGTAGTTTTTCCTTAAATTGGGCTCACCTGGCAATCTAATTATCACAGGTGTCCGAGATTGTTTTCAGTGATCAAAAGAGCCCTGAGACACAGTGTCATCCATGAGTTAAACTGAAAACCAAAATGTTTAATCTTTGTGACACTTAAATATGTGCATAATAATTTGGAACAGGGTGTGTGTATTTGCAAGATATGAAAAATAATATTAAACATCGAAATCCACACCTCTTTAGCCTGCAACTGGGTGCCTCCATCTTGACTCCCTGTCAATCATTGCTACAAGGTCAATTCTTTGAGAAATGAAACAATGTTTTTGTTTATTCTGTTTCCTTGCGGAATGCACCCTGGCTGTGCCTGCCTGGACATGGATTGCAAGGGCATTTGATAAATCGTCAATATAACGTTAAACATCCTGAGGTTTAAAGAAAAATAGAACATCAAAGGGTTAACACAAGTTATAGATGGTTTTCAATGTTTTATTCAATAGTGTAAGTTCATTCCCATGTTGGTTTAACTAAATAGTTAAATTAGTAAAGAACACTTTTTTTTATAGGTTTTCTTTCTTTGATGAATTAGTTAAGAACTATGGGTTTAAGCAATTTAATTTAAGTAAATACTAGTTAAAGGGACACTTTAGCTCATCTAAGTGGTCTGGGTGCAGTATCCCTGTCCCCTTAAACCTGCAATGGTAAATATTGCAGTTTTTGAGAAACTGCAATAATAACATTGCAGGGTTAACTCCAACCTCTAGTGACTGTCTACCAGACAGCCACTAGAGGGACTTCGGGATGGTTGCATGAAGACATCCAGTATCGCTCGAAACCCCGTAGGAAAGCATTATACAATGCTTTTCAATATTGGGAGTCCTAATGCGAGCGCAGTGCTTGTTGTGCATATGTATTAGGTCCCCACTCACTGGCTGTCGTCTGCAGAGGAGTGGTGGTGGAGCCTGAACCAGTGCCATGGCATGGACATGGGCACTGGAATCAAGTAAGTGACAGGGGTTTTTAATCCCTTCAGCACTGGGGGTGAGGGGTGCCATATAGGGATCTATAGTGCTAGGAAAACAACTTTGTTTTCTTAGCACTATACCTTCCCTTTAAGACCTTCTTAGTCAAATAATTAGATCTTATTTTGTGAACTATTGTAACATCTAAACTATGTTTCAATGAATCAGATGTTTCTTAGATTAATGTTAACTTTTTTTCACTAAAACCAAATACCTGTAGTCACTTTTAAAACTATAACAATTTGTACTACCTAATTCAAGTTAATAGCACAGATGTGCATTCTGTTAATCAATCAGATATCACAATAGCACTAGTCTTAAAAGATATTTTAGCTCCTTGATTGGAAAAGAGAATTCACAAGTGGCATTGTGCCCTGAAGTATCAATCAAGCAGCTAGCTATGATGAGAGATGACCTGCTTGACAAACTGATAACCATGATGGGATTTCACCACTCAGCTAACACCACATTCCTTTTAATCCTGTGTCTGACAGTACAGATTACCATTTAAAATGTCATGTTCTTTCTAATCGGCACATATAGATTATTTATTGCTGGCCTGCTTGCAAACACTTGGGTAAAGAAAGAAGCAGACACATTTAAAGGACTTTTAACACTTCTACAGTTTGCAAATTGTGTTTTGTAAAATGTATTTTTGAAAATAAATTCTGTTTATGGAAATGTTGAAATGTGCCCGTATAGGGAATTGAAAAGTGGATGTCATGTATTCATAATAAAACAAAACCGAGAGGTGTACAGGCACTCTTTTATCCTAATAGGTGCTAAGTATCTAGGTAGCCCACTACGAGTACCTCAAAAGATATCCATACAAACATATGATACTGCACTCTAAAAATACTAAATGTATCTATATAAGTACATGTTTCCACACTAACTGAGTGATAGTTCAGAGAATGTATTCAATTGCTATACCAAAAAACAGTTAATCCGTCCGATCACACCACATCCCACCATAACCACTGTGGCTATTTTTGACCCATTGCTTATTTACACTAGTGTTAGAAGTTGACATAATGTTGCATAATATATTCAAAGGAATGTGGAGATGCTGAATGGCTTAATCCACATAAATGATCTTGTGCCTAACACACGTTGCCAATGATACACCACATTGTAATAAAGCGACCCAAACAATGTAGTGTAAATAAGTAATGGGTCAAAAATAGCCACAGTGGTTATGGTGTGATGTGGTGTGAATAACTGATTGCATTAAATCACGTTGATCGGACGGATTAACTGTTTTTTGATATAGCAATTGAATAAATGCTCTGACCTATCACTCATTTAGTGTGGAAACATGTACTTATATAGATACATTTAGTATTTTTAGAGTGCAGTATCATATGTTTGTATGGATATTCATAATAAAAGTGGTATAAGTATATTGGAGTGTGTATGGACCGTTAACAGATAGAAAGGGGATGGGAGATATACAATATAGAAATGTAAGAGGGAGTTATAACTATCAGATGTGTACACTTAAAATAACTAAAAAAGAGAAGGGTACATTATAAGAAGGCTCAACGCATTGTAACTTAAACTTACTTTGCAGTCTCCTGTATACTATTTATTTTTACTTATTTTCTCTTAAAGCGGCACTGTCAATTTTGTGGTCTTTGCAACCTTTGGCCATGAGTGGGCATACTTGTTAAAATGTATGCATCACCCGATATACATGGGGAAACTGCCCAGATACCCCCCCTAATTTACTGGCCCTATCAAAATGGGATGGGGCCTATTTTAGCAACTGGGCAACATATAAAAAAAATAAGGATTTTATGCATTTGGTTAATATATTTAATAAGTATGTTTGCAGTATACCTGTATCAGGAAATTTAATTTGCTCTTATAACTTGGGTTTGATAGTTTAATGCCAAGCTTCCAGTGTAGCAACGTATTTTATGGTCAGTCTGTCTGTGAACAGGTGAGAGTTGGTAGATTGGTGTTTGAAGTAACAGGTTTGGCATTTACCTTACCATGCTCAAGGTAACATAAGAGGGTGGTGTTGTAAAAAAAGGGTGAGCGGGACATTTAGGATTAAAAGGTGGGTTGGAGACTGAGGCTTTGTTTTGTTTTTTTGTTATCTTTTAATTATGTTTATTGAGCTTGGATCCTTGTTTACCCAAAGTGGAACACACGCTGCTAAATAAGTTTATATTAATATTCGTCAAATTTGCGTTTAGGCTCATTTATGCAATTGAAGATGGTAGAAAATAGTTCTGCTGCCTCTTTTTATTCCTAAAACGCCCCAGTATTCCTGTGCTAAATTGACCTAATAATGTGGGGTGATAATTAAAAAGTCTGCTCTGCTGTAGCAAGGCTTCTATAATCATACCCCAAGCAGGTTTTTGTGTTTCATTTTTCAACCTGTTAATTACAACAGCAATCTGGAATGTAAAATATCATAATTAGCAGCATCATTTTGAAAATAGATAAACCTTATTTTAGTAAAATTAGTGCAGTGTTTTGACAACAATTATAATCCAAATGAAAAAAGTTAATCTAATAATAATATTGTAGTTCATTATAATTCTACTATTATGTGGTTTTATTATATTAAATTGGATCTTATGATAATAAAATCAAATCATTTTCTATTCTATTAGCAGCTAAAATGTAATATAATTCAGTCAAGAAGTAAACTTTATAAACTCTTACAAATAATTGGAATTATATCCCTGAGAAAATTGTGATGCATATACAAGGCACTTTGCAACACACACTCTTTCCCCCCTCTCTCTCTCTCTCTCTCTCTCTCTCTCTCTCTTTCTCCCCATCGTCCCCCATTCCATGTGGGAATCTCAGTAACCACAACTAAGTGGGAAGCTCAGAAAATACCCCCATCACACCCAACAAATGTGTGTACGGGAGACTGGAACATTATTATATCGTCACATATATTTACATAGAGCATTTGGCCAGAGGACCTAAATACTTTGGAAGATATAGTGTAAAATAAAGTATAAAAATAAAATGCTCTCTTGCTTATCTTACGCCTAATCCAAATACAATATAGATATTAATTTCTACCCTTTACCTCTGAGTATTTTTTTTTATATATAAAGAGCATAATATAATGAAAAAATATTAAAGGTTCAAAGTTTTCATTTGTTCACTAGTCTTGCCAAGTGGAAATTCACCTTGGTGAGTGTCATCTATAGTGACCCTCCAGATTTGGGGTGAGTAACTTTTACAGCGTGGTTAGTAAAGTATAACTTTGAGCTGTAAATATTATGACTATAAATATGTTCTCAAAAACCATAAATCACACAAAACACTATATAGTACAATTATTTATAATAGAGACAAGAACTTGTTTGCCCCAGATTCTATAGTTTGGCACTCCAACTCAACATGAATGCCTACATGCTGAACAAAGTCCATCACAAAACCATGCCATAGGGCTGAGAAGGAGACACCTGGTAAGTAGTAGGAAGTAAGAATGTTAAGGAGTCTTACTCTGAGTTTGCTCATCCCAACTTGTTTGCCAGCATGTACATGTTAAGGATCATTTAACATTAATTGTAACATTTATCCAGACCAAGAAGTAGCTGAAATTATTTCAGCCAACCTTGGCAATCAGTCTTATGTTCAAGTATTCCTGAAATGGTTTATGGAATATGTAGCTCAGTGTCGACAGTAGTTTCACTCATACTTAAATAAACTGCTGTCCAAGCTGAAAGAGAGAGTAATGTGGTCCAGAGAGATTGCTGAAAGGTTGGAACTTGCTTTAACAGGCCGTTAGGGACAGAATGATTTGGAGGCCAGATGCCTTACTTAACTTAGGTTAAGCCCAGCTGTACTTTGTTTGAGAATCCAGGAGATGTTTTGGCCTTGGCTTGATCTGCAAAACCTACTGTTCCCGCTTTCATTTACTAATTTATTTACTCATTTTAAAATTAAATTATTTAATCTCAGTGGTTAACTGTAGACACTGAATTGCAATCATTAAATCTATATTTAATGAATATATAATATCTATCTTATTATATCATTGATCAGTTGACATAAAAAAGGTGCGAAAAATCAGTGTACTGCAAAATATAAACATAATATAAATAATACATACACTCGAAGAAGGACACTCACTGGTATTGTTAATTTGCAAATTTTATTCACCAGTGTTCAGTAACTTTATAGTACCGTCAACGTTTCAATCCTTATCAGGATGAAAGTCCGGATGAGGACTGAAAAGTTGATGATTCTGTAAAGTTACTGAACATTGGTGAATAAAATTAGCAAATTAAGTAGACCAGTGAGTGTCCTTCTTCGAGTGTATGTATTGTTAAAAGGCTGGAGGAGCACCTTGGCAAATTAATCTGAAGAGTAAGTGCAGGATCGTGTTTTTTTGTTTAATATGAATAATATGTATATATTTTGCAGCACACTAATAGACTTATTTTTCCTGCCAGTTGGTTTACAGATGGAGTGAGGAAAAAATAGGAAAAAGACAAGTAGCAGTAAAAATAAAAAATCTATATTTATATATTGGATATAGTTTTGCTACTAAACATTAGCATTTAATACACAACTAAGTATAGCCATATATTAATGTAATGCATACGTTTTTGCTATATTAATTAATGAAGTTTAGAATCAATGTACAACTACACCATCTGTTTACAGTGACATATTGTACATAAAATAGTGTTTGCTATAATACTGCTTAATGGTGGAAAAACGCATTGAAACAAGCATCATTAAGGAAAAGAGAAGCTGCCTGTTCACGATCGATTAACTATATTAAACTTGGCAAGAATTGTTGTGTTATGAGTGAAATTAGTTTCATCAAGTTGCTAAAAGGGGACACAATATTAAACTTGTAGTCTCAGTTAGCACTGTGCGTCTCATTTAGATACACTACAGGGTGTCGAGAGGCCATATAATTATTTTTAGTTACATGTACATATAATGGTGTGGGACAAAATTTTCTAAAGTGATTGGAGGAAAGAAATTTTGAGAGTTTTATAGAATTTTATATATATATATAATGTGCTTCATGGTGCATTCTAGGAGTTTTTAGAAATTTAAAATTCTGAATTTGTTTTCCACAAAATACCAAGCACTTAAATGGTGAAAATATAGTTTATTCTGGCAACAAAGTTAATTAAATATATATATATCTATATATATATATATATATATATAGATATATATATATTTCTCGTTTGCATTCATCTCCCCTCCCACTCACAGCTTTAAGAGCTTTGGTTTAAGTTTCTACTAAATTTGCACATCTGAATCTTGATGTTTTGGACATTTTTCTTGGTAACATTCCTGGTAACATTGCCCAAGCTCTGTCAGGTCGGATGCAGACTACTGGTCCCCCCCATTGTTTTTTAGGGCCCTATCAGGCAGAAGACATGTCTTACAGGCACTTTATCTGCCCACACAAAGATGGCGGCTCCCGGGACCTAGGTCCGGGCATAAAATAAAGATTAAAGAATAGGTTATATGGGGAGTTTAGGGGCTTTTTGGGGTGACTAGGGGGGCAATTAGAGGTAGTGGGAGGGGTGTTAAAAAAACTGGATGAGGCTATGACAGTTCTGCTTTAAAATGTTTAAATATATGAGAAAATATCAAAATATTGAAATATTTTATCATTTGAAAAGTGTATCCAAAAATATTATTTTATGGCCTATGTTGCAAACCACAGCTCTGTTCTTCAATCAAGATATTTTAAATAACATACTTTCTTTTTTTTTTTTTTAGCTCAATTTCATTCCTCACCAAGTACTGTCACCAAGTCACCATTATTTTGAAAAGTGGAGCAGATTCAGCACACCAAAATCTAATCATGTGTTTGTTTTAGTCTTCAACTTTTAAAGAGTACCAGTCATACAATTCTATTTATTAATTTTGATAAATAGATTAGGAGAAAAAACTATTCAAAAATATGTATTTTTCCCATCTGTCAGTCAATTCTTCAGCATAGACTCTCCCACAAGCAGACTTTCTGCTCTCCTGTAGTGATGTCCCGAACGGTTCACCGAACGGTTTGCCACGGACGGCGAACATATGCGCTGTTCGGTCCGCCCCCTATGTCATCATTGAGTAAACCTTGACCCTGTACCTCACAGTCAGCAGACACATTCCAGCCAATCAGCAGCAGACCCTCCCTCCCAGACCCTCCCACCTCCTGGACAGCTCACTAAGAATGCAGCTTCACAATGGATGCTGTCCAGGAGGTGGGAGGGTCTGGGAGGGAGGGTCTGCTGCTGATTGGCTGGAATGTGTCTGCTGACTGTGAGGTACAGGGTCAAAGTTTACTCAATGATGACATAGGGGGCGGACCGAACAGCGCATATGTTCACCGTCTGTGGCGAACCGTTCGGCGAACCGTTCGCCGAACCGTTCGCGACATCACTACTCTCCTGTAGTTGCTAAGGTAAATCTCTAGCTGACATTGCTAGTTATGGTATAGGAACCAAAAGACTGGCCACTCCATTCAGACACAGCATACTGGCAACGAAGCCAGCTTGTCAGTGTCATGGAGGAGGTTTGCCCAAGCAGGACAAATAAAAGTAGAGTAAAGAAGATGAGAATACGGACCAGAGCTGAACTATAAATGTCTAGTTATGTAAAATATGAGTAACACCCATGAAGCTGAGTACATGATAATGCTTGTTTTGAGGTAAGGTGAGTTTATATCCCATAACGTTACATTGAATATATCATGTATCTATGTGATATATGATGTATTGAATACATTTGGAAATTATTGCTGTTAAAGTGGACCTGTCATGACAGGTCAGGTTAACTGCCAGTGGCTCATGAGCAATGCAATGACTGGCCTACAAAGTATTGCTCATTGGCACAAGAAAAATTTAAATAAAAAGAACTACAGTGGTGTCTAAAATCTTGGGAATTATGGGATTACATGAGGTCACACAGCAGCAATATGTTGTCTTGACATATTAAAAACTCCCTTTAACAAAGTTCTCATGGCAAATATCAAATCCTCCTGAATCTCTGACTGATCTTTCAGATAACTCATTAATACCAAAGTTGCAAAGAGAGTGTTAGCCGTGTTTCATCATTATCTGGTACACTTTGTTCTAAAGGACTGCAAATTACTTTTCCTGCAGGCAATTTAAATTTCTCACTTTGCCTTAAATGGAATCTTTTATGAAGACTGCACGTAATGTGGCGTATTGTTAAATTTAGTTACACGTTCCATTTCCTGTAAATGTCTAGTTATGTAAAATATGAGTAACACCCATGAAGCTGAGTACATGATAATGGTTGTTTTGAGGTAAGCTGAGTTTGTATCCCATAATGTTACACTGAATATTTCATGTATCTATGTGATATATGATGTATTGAATGCATTTGGAAATTATTGCTGTTAAAGTGGACCTGCCATGACAGGTCATGTTAACTGCCAGTGGCTCATGAGCAATGCAATGACTGGCCTACAAAGTATTAAAGTATATAAATGTCTAGTTATGTAAAATATTATGTTTTTATATTGTTGGGTTCTGGAATCAATATTACAATGTTTGAAGACCATTTGAACAAACTCTTGTTAAACAATTTTATGCATTGAGCAGGTACTAGATATGCATTCATTGCCAAACCTAGGCAGAATAGTCACAAAGGGCGAAGTTGGCAGACAGACTGCATCAAATTTGACTTTTTCTAAGGTAGCTCCTGATCGTCAGCTTCAGGTTATCTTGTTAGCTGGTCAGGTGCACTCATTATCTCTGACTTACTGTACGGTATCTTCTCTGCTGGGAAAATGATCTTGATGAATGCACTGCCTTGGGCGTAGGTGGGTTGGGCTTGTAGATTTAGCTTACACAATAAAAAAATACATTGTATTATTCTGTTCCTGTGGAACTCACTTCCCTCCTCCGTTAGATGCTCACCCAGTCACCACTCCTTCAAAAAATTGTTAAAAACCCACTTCTTCATAAAAGCGTATCAATTAAACTGTTAATAGCTCCCGACTGATTCCTCTCTTGCAACTGTCATTAGTCTAATACTATCCTTAACTTTTGTGTCACTTTACCCCACTCCCTCTAGCATGTAAGCTCATTGAGCAGGGCCCTCAACCCCTCTGTTCCTGTGTGTCCAACTTGTCTGGTTACAACTACATGTCTGTTCGTCCACCCACTGTAAAGCGCTGTGGAATTTGTTGGCGCTCTATGAATAATAACAAAATAATAATAATAATAATTGTAAAATGGTGTCATATTTTCTAGACTGGTGCATGGCACAACATTTTGATTCTGCAGAATCTTTTTTTTTTCTAAAACTTTTCAGGACATCTGAAATTTGATCGGATGTCTGTTCCACTGAATGTTGATGCATTTTTTGGAATTTGGTGGAATTTAGAATAGTGAACTCCTCCCGGAGGGTCACTACACATTTTGATTAATCTGTATTTAGAGTATATTTTGGCCTGGAATACAGGAATTCTACCGAACACCCTATGGTGCAATTTTGGCTGACTTGCGCTTTGGTCCAAAAATACGGTATTCTCCAAATCTATTTTCCCTCTATTTTCTCCTATCAACTGCTACCCTAGCTCCTTAGGAATCTAGCAACAATTGTCTAATGTGCAAACCATTAACACTGTGAAAATAGCATTTGTTTGGTGGTAAAGCAAGAAAAATAGGTATAAACTAAATTAAATCACATAAAGTTTGCAAAGAATTGATATTATTACATTTGAACTGTTTTCTCAAAAATACTAGAATGCAGTAAAAAATTTATCGTATGCTACTTGGTCTAATCACAACACAATATAGCTTGGTGTTTTATTTTATATATTTATCTGAACAATATTTTTTTTGCATTCTATGACCATATAAATCAATTGCAGTCACCTTAATAAATGCTTTAACTGGTCCACCAAAACTTGTAATAGGTGAGATGGATTTTAGAAAATCTTTTTAAATGAATGGTTATTCCAAACACTGTATGCATTTTAAAAGCAAGTTAAGTGACCTTTATTTGGCATAAATCTCATCTCAAGTGAACACATTAAGTAAATTGATTTACAATAGCAGTTTGTGGAGTGTGTCCCACAGTCTGTGCCATGCATTACGTGTAAATTACTGTTAATAAATTATGTAGTGTGCCAAAAAAGTCTTGCCAATATTTTTTATACAACGGAAACCTGCAGCAAAAATCTGGAGTTTCGAAAATACCTTTTAGAAAGGTTTATATAAATATTATTATTTCAATAGTTGTATATTAATATTGTTTTACTTTTTATTCCAGTAACTAAGATCTGTACCCAGTGTGAAATTGAACAGAAATCGGAAACAATGAGGGTGCAATTGTGTGCAAGTGACTTTGGTAAGTGTATTTTTTATATACAAACTATACCTAATGGGAGAGGGGTAAACACACAGATACAAAATTGCATAGTTATACTGTATATAGAATATCATTATTACATTATTTTCTTTCATTTACTTTATACTTTGTTTATACTTTGAATAGAAAGATCACAAAAGAACTTGAATTCAACAAACAAAAAGAGAGACTGCTAACTTCTTAATAGCTAACTAGTCCTACAGTACTGTTTGTAAATTAATTTAATAAATATAAATGTACATTCTGAGGTAGACAGAGGCAGTGTTTGTCATTCCAAATGATTTGGGCTGCATCTCCACTGATGTATGACATCATACCATGATAACATCTGATGATTTGCCATGCACAGCGTAATGAGAAGTAAAATACACAAGACATTGAATGTGAGACGTTATCCACTGCAGTACTGAACAAAAAATATATTTGTAGCTAATTATTGTCATATATAACTTTTACTGCTGCTAGTTATGCGCACTAAATGTGTAGTATATCTATCTATCTATCTATCTATCTCTCTATCTATCTATCTATCTATCTAATCTATCTCCACACATGTGATTTAGGCTTTAAATCTAAATTATAGATGTTTGGCGTTTGCTAATATAAACAAATAAAAGAGGATGATTATGCAAACAAAATATTTGAACATCTGTTGCAAATTCAAATAATTTAAACTGAATTTCAGTCTCATTGGTGACTTCTATGAATTGTTTGGCTTTGAACTACTCATCTGAAACACAGATGTCAATACTGAGGCAAACTTCATTTATAATTTATTTTTTTTAATTTAATTTTTTTTAACCCATAATTCCAGTGTTGTACAAGAAAATGGGCTGTTAAGTATTTTAAAAGTACATGCAATTTAATCTTAGATTAACAGCCTAAGGTTCCAAACATCTAGCAACATATAATTTAGGATTCTAGATAAATGATAGCTAGCAAGCATTTCTAGTACAATTCTTGTTTATTTCAGATATGTTATTCTAACACTCAATTGAGTAAAAACTTCTACAGATCCCACATCATTAACATCTGAAATTATGTTAAAGAAAGTTAACAAAATAGCATGGTCACCTTGAAATTAAATTTCTTACGTGTTAAATCTAATCCGCTTTCAAAGACTTTTTAAAGTGTTAAACAAAATGATCATATCATAAATACATATATATAGTCTTAGCAGATCTTATTAACCTAATGATTCCATTTTGTGAACTCATCCAACCACAGTGTTTGGTTCCTGAGTTAGTCAATTATGATCAACAATGAAAAGCTTAATTTGAGTTTACAGGAAGCCTACATACATGTGCAGCTACCTCCACAGCTTGAGCTTTCACCCAAATTACACAGTACAGGCCTTCACTTATAGCCAGATCAGTTGCCATAATATTATTGACAGTGAAGAGCATGCAACACCTCCCCCCAAAATGGAATTCCAACAACCACCCAACCTAAAAACGTGTCCACAAACTAAAACAAACAAAAAACATACAAACATGTAAACTCTAGAGAATGATTGAAGAACATTTTTTAAGAAATACACTCAGTTTCTTTCTTTGGCATCAGGGACCAGTAAAAAAAAAAAAAAAAAAAAAGATAATAAAAGCCTTTGTCAGCAAGTTGAGTTAAGGTCCAGCAGTATTTTTTTAAACACATAATCATCCTAGTGTGTCCTTAAAAGTGATCAAGACATAAAAACGATTAACCACAAAGTTCATTAGACAGGGTGGAAAACTCAGATGCTAGCCTTTTTAATGCACTTTGCAATTTGTGGATTTTATATCTTGATAAAGACTTATACATAGGGGTGAATCATTGCCACTTAAGAACACAATAAAGGAGTCACTATTGTAAAAAGGAGAACGTGACCTTCTTTAAATGTGCTGCTTGATTGCTTGCTTTCTTGTAGAGAACTGCAAGTCTTGCACCCATAGGTGGGTCCCTCCATATTTTATATTTCTGCTATGTCTTGACGAAAAATTATTTTTCATTGTGAATTATACAGTAGGAATAATAGACTGGTGAAAGTGTTTAACTTTATTTATTCATATATGGCTTGTTTCATGATATGGAGATACTGTTAAGCATCTGTAAGGTTTGGGAAGATATCCTAAATAATTAATAATACTATATCTGTATCCCCAGTACCATGATTGTAGCACAGATGGAGTAATCTTTTATTGGGGTGTGAAAGGCACTATTCCAAAATTAACACTATGTTTAGGTGATAGGCTGTAATATTTCAGGGTGTGGACATTTTAATTGTGACTGTGTGTATTCTTCTACAAATAAATGTGCCAGCAAATTTAATCAATGCATGGTGTAGTAGTTAACACATGCCAGATGCAGTCTGGAAACTGTCAATCGGGAAAAATATATATATATACATTCTAACATGCTTCAGTTCTTTAGATATCTAAATATTGCATGAAATTGTGTCCATTTTTTTTTTTTTATCAATTCTGTATTTTTCCCCAAAGTAATATTGGTCATACACATATGCTAAGAAACCGTATAACCGTCATTAGTTGGATGTTACTGCTTTTAAACTTGAAAGAAAGACAATGTTGTACTGTGCCTTTGTGAAGGGAGCGAGTAAGAAATGTATGATATTAAAGTTTATCCCTCTAAGCTATTCGCAAGTCAGCTGTTTTCATAAATCACGGCCACACATATTGTTTTCATATGCATCTACTGAAACACTCTCGCCAAAAAAAAAAAAAAAAAAACCTTGAGAAGTAAGGAAACAGATTTACTCTTGTATAAAGAAAATTGACATGCGGCTGCTAAGGGCTCTTGTAATGGAGTTTGAATCAATAGGAAAATGACTTCCTGTGGCAAAGGCCTCTGGGTAATGTCTTCATTCAGGGAGCTAATTGGATTACAAAGAAATCTGTTTAAAAGAATGGTTGGCTAGCAACACTATGATTTAAATAGAAACATTTTCAACAGCCCGAGGTTAAGTCATCCTCCGAACACAAAATGATATGTTTATAGCACACAATACTTTGAAGTTAATAAGAAAGTGTAAGATTATTTGGATTGGGATATACTCTAGACTAAGCCTTGTTACTAAGCAAAAAGTGTTTCATCCACAAAGTCGCTGTTGACTATCTTTAGCTGATTGTACTATGTTTGCTAACAGGTTCTTTAGCGCATTAAGCCCACCCTATATTGTATGTGTATGTGGGTATATAAGTGTATGTTTTGTCACATTTACAAACTGAATGTTGACAAATTTTGACAAATATTTCCTCATAATTTTGTAAACAGTAAACGTTAGTGAAAATTATATTACTTGCTGCATGATGATAACACATTGAATAGCTTCATCAACCTAGATTGTTTTTATTTTTTATTCATTGTAGTTTCTATACTAATGACATGTAGTTGTCCTCATTGAAAAACATGGTAGCTGTCTGCTATATTATTTATGTGTAGGCAAACTTTCTTATAAGAATTATATTTTTATCTAATCATGCTGAGAATTTAAATATCTATACAAAGCTAAACAATGATGCAATCTGTACCTTTTTTGTACCATCATGTTTCTATCACGTGTTCCCTCCTAAGTTGTATACTTAACAGAGGGAGAAGAATTTGAGAAAATCCAGAGTTAGTTTAGGCATAATTAAGACAAGCAAAGAAATGTACAACAAAATCCAGTATCATTAATTGGATTGTCTGACCTCCCTCTACTAGTGTCAGGCTTAACGCTCAGGCAAGGATTAGGTGCAGCCCTAGAACAGATTTCTACCCTAATTAATATAAGATATTAGCAAAACTGCTCCCGTCACTGCAAGGCTCTAAAAGATTTTCTTCTGTATTTAAAAATGTATACCCTTGACTTTCTTGTCTGATACCCATTCATTATAAATGTGGTGTTCCTATTACTATATTTTGCATGGAAAAAAGCTAGTGGTGACATGTTTAAGAGCAATTTTAGGGCACTTTTCCAACAAACTGTCATCAGGAACATTCTATTGGTTTTCACGGTGAGAGTTCCACCTTTATAATGCTGCCCCTAATATATGCTGTGTATGTTACCTTCAAAACATAAATATATTTTGTTTAAAATGTAATCAACATATTTGTGACTGCCCAGCATGTTATCTTAGAAATTATCCTGATGCCCCTGTGGATAGGACGGATACATCATAAGAAACAATAAACAAAATGATAGAGACGGAAATTATGATTGACTATACACAGAGCAAAAATACCAAAAACATATCTTGTCCTTAAAGGGTTAAATGGAGGTAAGATATATAGATTTCCTTTTAATAACTACACAAAGTACGTAAAATATGTACGTTTCTTTTAATCACTACTAAATATATCTAGGTTTCTTTTATAACTATTAAATGCATGTTTTTGTTTCTGTAGACATTTACTGCCTGGGTATTACAATTACTTCTTCATCTGCTGAAACATAGTATAGCCTGTGTATTGGAATTCACCTTATATATATATAAAAAAAAAAAGTTTAACTGTTTCATTAACCAAGATGTGTCACAGCAGCTACATATTCTATCATCATATCTTCAGCACTTTTTGGGCCATCCCCAGCATTCGAACATTTAATAGCATGTTTTATATTACTATAAATTAGCGTGAAACATTATTTGCTGACTTGTTTCGCCTTTCAATCTCTAAGAAAAGTTGCATGCGTCTTTGCTCATATTTACTATATTAGTCTTGCATCCTCTCCAAAAGACCATTATCAGGAAATCTAAATCAAATATACAGGCTTTATTTGAATAGAGTTTTGGTTTTCATTTTCATATTTGTTTATATATTTTAAAAGGCTGCAAGCAATCGCTGTTTCTGATTAATATGGCCGATAAAGTATTTGGTGTAAGGGTATAAAGTTAACATGTTCTGTTCATTATGACATTTGGCAGAGGAAGATTAATCAACTGTAATTTCCTTTGAGTCTTGTGATTGAGAAGGGTATAATAGCTCACTCCATAAAAACTACAATCGCAAGTGAAGTGCGTTCAAGGATAAATAGCACCATAGACATTTGCTAAAGATTTACTAAACTTAAATATCTGTCAAGTAACAGAAATCTGTGCTACTTTTAATACTAGGATGAAACCCAGATAATGAGTTCTAATTTTATCTGGAAAAATTTTGAATCACTTTGAAGAAACATATTTGCTGTTTGGACAAAATAGGCATTCAAGAGGAAAACAAAAAGGGGGAATTTCTGCCCCAAAAAGGGCATGTCCAGACAGAATGGGCAGGGCTACCACTATCAGGGCTGGGTTTATCAGTATAATATTAGGTTGGAAGGAGGTCATCGAGCAATATTGCCCTACCAGGACCTAGTTTTGCAAGTTCTTAACTATATTATAGTTGTTGCTATATGTCATAGGTATGTTATAGATCATATTTTGAGATTTTCTCAGTCCTTATACTAGTCTGTATTTAACTTTTTCCCTGGTGTATAAGTGAAAAAGAGTATTGGGCTACGATGTCCTCATGCAGATTGTTGTACAGACTACCAACGTAAATTTATTAAAGTAAAAGTATAAACACATCCAATATAATTAAATGGAAATTCTTAAATTCTTAAAATAAATTAATATGTAAAAACATATTTTCAATCACAAAAACATAGAATGTTATCCACGCCTTTATTTTTCTTGATTACACTTATTTTGGCAAATATCTGGGAGGATCTGATCACCTTTTGCATAATACACTGGAGGCACAAATATTTTTAGTTGTATTTAAAGGGTTACTCCTATCCCTTATTAATAATTAAAAAATAAATTAAAATAATGCCTTATCCTGTAAGCCCCCGCCAACCCCCTCCCTGATTGTTTTAAAATTAGTTTAATACATTTTTAAATAAGTTTAAATTAACTTTATGCAGCGCTTGGCAAACGCCCACATGCCATGTCTGGACTAATCAAAAGATAAAGGATTTAGCCGATTCAGAGCATATGCACGTGCTCTGTTCCGGCAAGGGGAGAGGGAGGGTAGAGGTCTGAAAGAGCAGAATCGCATTATGTCTGTTACAAGCATGCAGTGTGCACTGACAATAGACGTAAAATATGCACAGGATTAAAATTCACAACTCGAAACAGAGTTCTGGGGTGTCAATGTCACGTGTGCAGCAGATGCACCCTACCATGGCACAAAAGTGCTAGTTACTCTGAATATGCAGTGGTTCAAGCTGAAATACTGCATGTCCAGACTTCTACCAGCATGACCACTTCAAAAAGCAGAAGTGATCATGGTGGTTGGAGAAACCAATGCTGTGAATGGTGGTTGGAGTCACCCTCTAATCATATTAAGAGAAATATGATACTTTCAGAAATATATAAGCACAATAAAACTTGAATTTCAAATTAGAACAGTATTTACTGATCTGGATGTACGGGAAAATCCCATCCATGATGGCAAAGAAGTCTGTCTAGAGTGCAGGGCTGCAGGATCCTGCTATATATCTTGGCACTAACAAATTAAAGGGAGTTTGATAGAAGGGTCACCAGAACATGCTTCGGACATCAGAAAACCTTCAGATTCTTACACTAGATTCCAATATTTCAAACTTTCCACAACAATATACATGATGTAAATAATTGGGTTTGTCCAGCTATGATAAATATGGGCCATGTCTTATTACCCCGCTGGGTAAGCATGTCATTCAAGTTACAAAGTGATAATTCTAATCATAGTTCATACTGCAGGGTAACAGATAAAAGTCTGACAAAAGCAAAGCAGGATTCATTTGCTATTGTTTGCTTTAGCTCTTAGCTAAAGACCAGTAACTTGGTAAACTGTCCAAAGATAGACTGTATAATCAAAACAAATACGGGTCTTGATCCCAGGGACGTTTTAGCCGCGAGGCAAACAAGGCATTTGCCTCGGGTGGCATTTTCGTGGGGGCGCCCAGGGCAAATGTCTTGTTAGCCTGGCGCTAACTGACATTCCAGACGGGCTGCTGGGCGGGCCACTAGACCCCAGGAAGAAAGAGAACCCCCAGCATTCCCAAAGGTAAGGAGGCTGGGGGGATTAAATAAAAAAAATGTTTTAATGTGAGTGAGTGTGTGTGTGTGTGTCTGTTTGTTAGTGTGTATGTGTGTGTGTGTCTGTTAGCGTGTGTGTCTGTTAGTGTGTGTGTGTGTGTATGTTAGTGTATGTGTGTCTTAGTGTGTGTGTCTGTTAGTGAGTGTGTGTATGTTTGTTAGTGAGTGTGTGTGTCTGTTAGTGAGTGTGTGTGTGTGTGTCACTGTGTGTGTGTCAGTGTGTGTGTGTCTGTTAGTGAGTGTGTCTGTTAGTGAGTGTGTGTGTGTGTGTGTCAGTTTGTGTGTGTGTGTATCTGTTAGTGTGTGTGTGTGTGTATCTGTTAGTGAGTGTGTGTGTGTCTGTTAGTGAGTGTGTGTGTGTGTATGCCTGTTAGTGAGTGAGTGTGTGTCTGTTAGTGAGTGAGTGTGCGTGTGTCTGTTAGTGAGTGAGTGTGTGTCTGTTAGTGTGTGTGTCTGTTAGTGTGTGTGTGTGTGTGTGTGTCTGACTGTGTGTGTGTGTCTGTTAGTGTGTGTGTGTCTGTTAATGTGTGTCTAACAGTGTGTGTCTGACTGTGTGTGTGTGTGTCTCTGTTAGTGTGATTGTGTTTGCCTGTGTGTGTGTGTCTGTTAGTGAGTGTGTGTTTGTCTGTTAGTGAGTGTGAGTGTGTCTGTTAGTGTGTGTGTGTGTGTGTTTCTGTTAGCGAGTGTGTGTTTCTGTTAGTTAGTGTATGCGTATCTGTCAGTGAATGTGTGTGTGTGTGTATTTAGAAGGCGGGGGAAGGGTTGGGTTATGGGGCATGGGGGGGAGGGGTGCCTAAGTTTTGTCCTGCCTGGGGAAGCACAAAACCAGGAAAAACCACTGCTTGATCCACAGAGAAAAGCAAAGTCCAGACAAACAAAACTATTACAATTATGTTACCAGTTTAAATTGAATAAAATAAATTTAGGCATTTTAATTGCTTCATCATTTTGGAGTGGTTATTGTGTCTGGCGTCCCCTAGTGCCATCCTTCTGTGTTAAATTATTTTTGAATGGTTAAATGTTAAAAAATTGTCACTGGCAGCCCATCCCCTCTGTGCGGCTCAGACTAATGAGCAAGCATTAGCCCGAGCAGCAATCAGTGGAGGTGAAGTCTACCATAGTGCCATTATGCCATTACTGGTAAGAATTGGAATGGCTTAGGATGTTTGTAATCTCAGGGCACTATGAACAATTCAATTACATAAAATGATTATTGTACCTAAAGTGACCATTTAAAATAACACTCTGGGCTCCATAACAACTTATTTGAAATTAAGTTGTTATGGCGCCAGGAGGTTCCTGATGCTTGCTCACCTTTAGGGGTTACGCCATTCAGTGCTGGTTCTCTTTGCCCCCCTGTCCTTCTGTTTGCTAAAAAGCATCAAAACCGAATATTATGGCTTCTGTGGGCAGTGGCACTGTTGATTGGCTGAGAATGTCAGCTGACTGCTCTCGGCCAATTTGCGGCATCAATAATCTTCCTTCTTGCTTTTCCACAAATGGAAGGATGGAGGGGCAAAGAGATCCGGTGCCGTAATACGTACTTTGGGGTTAAACTGTTCGTGAATGAGTTAAGCTCTAAAGGTGAGTTAGCACCAGGGACCTCCTGGCACCATAACATTTTAATTTGAATGAAGTTGTTATGGATCCAAAGCTAGACCTTTAACCCCTTAAGGGCACATGACATGTGTGACATGTCATGATTCCATTTTATTCCAGAAGTTTGGTCCTTAAGGGTTTAAAGGAGCACTATAGCGCCAGGAAAACAAACCTGTTTTCCTGGCACTATAGGGTTGTTAGGTCCCCCCTTCCCTTGTGGCCCCCCTCCCACTGGGCTAAAATGAGATAAAACCCCTTTGGCCACTTACCTTAATCCAGCGCCTGGTTCCCTCAGTGCTGGTGACCTCTCCTCCCCCTGCCGACGTCAGCTCCCAAGTGGAGCCGAATGAGCATGCATGGCCAGAGCCACGCGCACATTCAAACCGCCCATAGGAAAGCATTACTCACTGCTTTCCTATGGGGATCTGAACTCACGCTGCGTGAGTTCAATTAGATTTTCACACTGAGAATCGCGGAAGCGGCCTCTAGTGGCTGTCAGGGAGACAGCCACTAGAGTCTGGATTAACCCTTCAATGTAAACATTGCAGTTTCTGTGAAACTGCTATGTTTTCAGCTGCAGGGTTAAAACTAGGGGGACCTGGCACCCAGACCTCTTCATTGAGCTGAAGTGGTCTGGGTGCCCACAGTGGTCCTTTAAGGTTTTATGAAATCTCAAATTCTAAAGAATAGTCCTTGAAAACCTCCATTTACAATTCGCAATATATATCACTATGTATAAATAAAACATTACATTTACTCTGTGAACTTGCCCTGTAATTGCTTTCATTAGTTAGAACATAGCTTGCCATCACAGTAACCGCCAAGACCCATACATTTCACACTGCCCTGCAACACAAATCACTAATAAGCTGTTTTAATAAGATTTGCCTTTAATTACAAATCATTACAACACAAAATAAATAAAAGAAATTGTCATATTTTCTTGACCACTATCCTTACTCACCCTCTTTACCTGTCATCCCACACAGCGTTACTTAAAATTTAAGATAACAGTTCCAGAAAACATTGTAATGGAGGAATCCTGATTTTTGTTGGCTGCGTTCCATTGAAAGCATGGCATGTAATTGATGTAATGGGGAGTATGGTTGGAATGGCCAAATTGAGTGGTAGCTTTTTACTAAGATTGCTCGGTCTGCAATTCAGGCTAGATTAACATCTTATTTACTCTTAATAAAAAGAAACAAAACTCCAAGGATTCACATAATGGAAAGCTAAAACGATAAAAAAAAGTTTGGATTTTGCTAAACATTTTATTGTGAATCAACTGTTATTATTAATTATTATTTATATGCCCAGACGTGGAGAAACATTATTTGTTTGTAAAAACACACTTGTCATAATGGTAAAACATTAAGCGTTTGGCCTAAAGGCTTTTTTCACACCTGACAACATAGGGAGGTATGGAATTAGGAAAGATGGTGGGTGGGCCTATGTGGGCATTCCAGAGATGCCACTCGCGTCACTAGAAATACAGAGGAAATATTTAAAAACGAGAGAAATCTCAAAGTATCCTTCCTGGTAAATTATTTTGTAAAAATAAATAAATAAAATGGACAGGTCCATCTGTAAAGATTGAGGGGATATGATAGAAACATTTAAATATATAAAGGGAATCAACACAGTAAAGGAGGAGACTATATTTAAAAGAAGAAAAACTACCACAACAAGAGGACATAGTCTTAAATTAGAGGGACAAAGGTTTAAAAATAATATCAGGAAGTATTACTTTACTGAGAGGGTAGTGGATGCGTGGAATAGTCTTCCAGCTCAAGTGGTAGAGGTTAACACAGTAAAGGAGTTTAAGCATGTGTGGGATAGGCATATGGCTATCCTAACTATAAGATAAGGCTAGGGACTAATGAAAGTATTTAGAAAATTGGGCAGACTAGATGGGCCGAATGGTTCTTATCTGCCGTCACATTCTATGTTTCTAAATATATAAAGGATACCAGAAGGAGGAGAGTGTTAGCCTCGTCTGTAATCCTTAAATCCAGCTTGCCGACCACACTCAGGGATTTCCTTATGTTTGAAGCTCTCTTGGCATCGGATTATTGCCCTGGCAGAATTTTACATTCGCACTGTGATGTTTAGGGAACTAAGCTGTGACGGCATGCCAGGAATGCCATGTCCTTCCAAACCTGGAACAATTGGGATGCAATCTGAGGATATGAAAAAACTGATTCAGAACCTCACTGGTCTAGTTTAATTGATTGCTTCAATCTCTTTCAAATCTGGCCTACATTTCGAATTGCTTTTTGTTAATAATCAGTGATGATTTGAGGTTTACAAAAACAGCAAAGAACAAAATGCATACAGGTATCTATGTAAAAAGTAATATTATTTAATTACTAGGCTTGGATCTGTAGCATTCTTTTCTCGTCTATACTTAAAGGACAATAATGGCAACAAAACAATGCTGCATGGCACAGTATTGCTATGCAATCTCCTTCAGTTTTTTACCCTTTATTACTTAAAGGGATACAATAGGCATCAAAACAACTTTAGCTTAATGGAGCAGTTTAGTGTAGTCTCGCTGCTCAATTGTCTGCCATTTAGGAGTTAATTATTTATTTCCCTTTATGCAGCACTAGCCACACCTCCCCTGGCTGTGACTGGTACTGCCTACGTGAAATAAATGGTTTAATTTCCAATCGTATCTTAAACCTACTTCAGAAGTTTTTATCTCCTGCTTTGTAAATTAAACTTTAATTACATACAGGAGGCTCCTGCAGGCTATAGCAGACTACAAACAGAGCAGAAGATAAGAAATTCTAAACTAAACAGACCGTGCAATCAAGGAAGTTTAAACTTTAGATCTCTCTGCACAGGAAGTGTTTAGGAAGGTGTGTAAGCCACATACATGGAGGTGTAACTAGAAACCACAGGGCCCTGGTGCGTAAATTACCCTTGGGCCCCCCATACGTCTACTCCCCGCCACCCCCCATATGTCTACCCTCCCATACATTGCCCCTCTACACATGCAGACACACACATACACATACACATATACAGAGACACACACACACACATGGTTGGCTGGGCACCATGGTCGCAGGAGTCTGCAGTGTGGCTGTGCCCCCTGGCGGGTAAAATGTTTTGTTGACTATAGTGTCCCTTTAAATCAATAGCAACTACTAAATACTGTATGTATGTTGGTAAATACATAAAGTCATTCTAAAGCAGGAATCTCAAACTATGCCCCCCAACATGTTGCAGAACTACAGCCATGATTCTTTTTCCATCTATAGCCTTCAAAGAATTCTGGGAATTGAAGGCCATCAACATCTGGAAGGTTGGCGTTTGAGGTCCAAGTTCTAAAGGTTCTATTTTATAAGTAGTGATTCATGATAAAACAGCCAAAGTAACTAATTATTCTAAGGCTTGTTATTCTATTGCCATTGGTGACACCCTGCAAATGTGATCAATATATATTGCCTGCAATTCATTTTTCACATAGAGTCCTATGGCACTATTGTTGGAACTCGCTACCTTGATGCCGGAGATAAGGAGTCACACAGAAACACAATACATTTACTGTAAGTAGTTTTAGTTGTAGGTGAGTTTGGTGCTTCAGTCTTCAGAGTTAAAGTATATGAAAACTCTTTAGAACAGCTTTGGTGGGATGGGACCTTTAAATGAATTTATTTGGGTTAAAGCTGACCCCCATAGTTAAGAGGAGGGCCAGGTAAGTGGTCCTCTGTTTGCTCCTATATTCCACCAATAGCAGCTCATGCATTAAGAAAGATGAGGGACAATAGTAACATATCTCCTGCTTAATGGGAGGCTGGGGGTCTCCAGTTTGTTTCTTACAGTTTCATTATCTGAGTAATTATGGATGAACATACTTGTGCTAGAAAATACATGTGTGTAAAATTCTAACCTTGATCAATATCGCCTTTTTGTGCATAATGAGCGCTACCTCTTAAATCATGAAGTCAGAGAAAGTAGCGCACTGAGCAATACAACCTGATGTGTCCTAATATCACGGAACCCTAAATACCAAAATTGCAGTCAATAGATGATTCACAAGTCTGTGTTAAGTATTTTACAGCATTAACCTTGTTAAAAGTCTTGCTTGGGAGTAATTTGCCTGGCCCCAGCCTTAACATGGTGACTAATGCATAACATTTACATAGCAGACCTATTTGCATTTTAAGCACATGATTTTCATTTTACAAATGAAACGTCTGTAAACAAAAATCGTGCCAGTAGTTTGCCTGCCAAGCTATTGCTGTCAACAGTCTGGTGACTGTGAAACATAGAGCGACCTACCGTGAATTTCTTACAGTTTGAGAAATGAAGCACAGAGCGAGCAAAACATTCTTTGCAAATCAATATCTTTTAATATCAAGGCCAGCGTTCAGACTAGTTCAGATGTCTTTTCTACTGAGCTAAGAAACAATCAGCTCACTGCGTTTGTTATGTGTCTGGAGTTCTCTAGGGTTCTGATAGATGTGTGCTGCCTAATCTATTCCATATGTTTTGGGTTTTTTCTACATTTCAAAAATCTCACTTTTTCCATTTCCAAAATGTTTGCACTCTGATCACAACAGGTAAACGGATAAGTGGTGAAACAGTTTCTCTGAATGGAAATATTTGGTACTAAACAAAATAATTTTTACAAAATAAATGTTAGAAATGGGGGTACCGGACCCACCAATATTTTCCAAGGATATTATATTGTAATTTATAAAGTGCCAACATATTACAGCGCAATGTACAATAGGAGTTTTGGTTAACAAATCGTTGCAACAAGGTAATTGTTGGGCAACAAAAAGACAGTGCTGTATTGCTGTATATAGAGTACAAATGCTAAAGATCTAGTAGTCATTAATGATGGAAGAATCCTACAGCATTTGAATTTTACACAAGGCAGGGCAGCACTTTTCATGTATGTTTAAAAAAATAAATTCAAAGTCTATCTGGTAAATTTAAAGTGACACCACAGGCATCAAAACAACTTTAGCTTAAGAAAGCAGTTTTAGTGAGTAAATCATGTCCCTGTAGTCTTACTAAGCAATTATCTGCCATTTAGAAGTTAACTCACTTTTGTTTCTGTTTATAGCCCTAGTCACACCTCCCCTGCCTGAGACACACACAGCCTGCATGAAAACAAATTGTTTATTTTAAATAAGATGTTAATGGTTTTTAGAAGTTTTCATCTCCTGCTCTGCAAATTAAACTTTAATAAAAATTCTGAATTAAACAGACTGTGCAACAAACATTTGATCTCACTTTACCGGAAGTGTTTAGGACGGGAGGTGTGGCTATGACTGCATAAACTGAAAGATAAGTGATTTAACCCATAGATAGCAGAGAATTGAGCAGTGAGACTGTGAGGGCATGATTTCTAAACCATAACTACTTCATTAAGCTAAAATTGTTTTGGTGCCTATAGTGTCCTTTTAATTAAGCGACAACTAGCACAGTAATTGTCATTAATTATGGTTTGCTATACACTATTGGTGACTTGTTTCCAGACATTAAATTATCCATGATGCCAATACAACCTGCAGAGAACTGCAATTTGCAAATATCTGCAGAGACACAAGGCTAGCTATCACTGTCCTCAGATATAATAAATGTTAGTTTACTAAATAAAAAAATAAATAATAAAAACACAAAACAAAACATAGAAAGTAAAATAAAAATCTCAGACTGATAATACTACTGTTTCTTATTTAACGAGGAATATTTTGAACAATATCCCTTTTTTAATAAAGAGAAATACTTGGGGAAAAAAATAAAATAGTTTTATTTATCATAAATTTGTAAAAGAAAATAAACAGAAAAGATTTTTAAAAGTGAACATTTTTTTGACAAGAGATACATTTTGGAACTAGAAGTGCTAAAAATACAGAACAGAATAATCATTAGCTAAATTACGATACTTAAAGGAACACTATAATATTTGGAATCCCTCTGACTCCATGGTCCACCCTGTCATTAAAAGGTTGTCATTAAACCCTTTCTTCCACTTACCTGATACCAGCACCAATGTCCCCCAGCTTTGGCTCAGTCTTCTGCTCCCACAACATCACGGCTATGGGGGACCTAATGCATGGCGAGTGTTGTGCGCTCATTAGAGCTTTTCCCTAGGAAAGTACTGTATCAGTGAAGCACTTCTAGTACTGTATCCCTAGGAAGCACTTCTAGTGGCTGTCTTAATCCGACAATTTAAACATTGCAGTTTATCTAAAACTGCAATGTTTTATATTGTATGACTTAGGGGGACAATGGCGCCTCACTCAGATCATTTCAATGTGATGAAGTGGTCTGGGTGCCTATAGTGTCCCTTTAACTGAAATCAGAATGTCAATATTTGAACATATTTCAAACGGGGCATTTTGTTGATATAGCTAAGGATCAGATCCACAAGGTAATGTACAGCAAACTAAAAGTTCTGCTCTGGAGTATGTAGCACTCCTATACTTCAGTGAGAAATCAGTTAGATAAGGCAGATTGTGAACTGCTTCCCACCCTGCGATACATGAATTCCACATACTGGAGTTTATCACTTTGCACGTACTGCTCTTCAGCTTGGTGAAGTGATTGATATCCCATTGTACAGCTCTATGGAATTTGCTGGCGCTATATAAATAATAAAAAAACTATAAAATATGTGGATCTAGCAACCCTAAATATAAGACAAGAACTTGAAATTAAGGAATGTATTCACTAAACAGTGAGATTTGGCAAGTTGACAACATACTTGCAACATTAAGACAAAATAGTAATAATGTAAACATGTTGCCTTTTTTTAGTTTAAATTCAGCTGCTTTGAGATACATTTTAAAAGCCTCTTTCATGTACTAAATCATTTAAATTGTCTTTTCTTTTTAAACATTAACCTGTCATAATGCTTCACTATCCCTTAAAAATTAAATATTAGATAAAGTCCAGAGAAGGATTAGCCATAAGGCAACCCTAGGCAGCCGTCTAGTGCCTACCGGTTCATTTGGAAAGATGAATTTGCTTAACTCTAATAACCACCGCTATATGAAGAATGAAGGGGCCAACTGGTAACCTGCCTTGGGCTCATGGGATCTTAATCCTTCTCTGATAAAAGCCCTCTACCTCATTCCCAAGACTTGTGACGATTTAGGCAAGTATTTTATTCTATAGCTAGTTTGGAGTTTGATAGCATTCTCTACATTGACTGACTGTCAAATTAACCTCTGTTCTATCTTCAAATCATGCCTGCAGTTTGGAAAGTAAAGTGATGACTTGTTAGCGCGGGAAGCCTACAAGATATAACCTTCCCTTATACTTCAATTAGTCTTGTAAAAAAAAAAGGGCACATGGCTTGTGTCCTGCCAAATTAACAAGGAACTCCTGCCTCGTATCACTTTGACAAGTCTGCACTGTTCTGAGAGACTATGAACGATAACCTTGTTTAGAATCCTTTCCGTTAAGGAGAACGTGTCCCCAAGCCTAAAGAAAACCTTTTCAAACACCCTTATGTTCATTGTATACATTAGCAAATCTTCAAGATATACTACTTTTTAGCAGGAGTGAAATTGCTGAAATATATAAATATAGACAACCATTCATGGTCATTTTAGCATCGCCACTGATCTGAAATACAAAAAGTATGAAATCAAATCAATGATTTATATATATATATAAATCATTAACAAAACTCCAAAATGACACATAGTAATTCAACAGTATGGTACAACACTTTTAAATTGCACGTTTAATAAAAACAATATAAAAAGATGGAGCAGCTGTTGTATTATTTATACATCATACTTTTACACAATGTAGATGCTTTTGTTTAAGATATACATATATAGCTCAGAATCAATAAAAAATAATAAAAAGAAAACAGGAAAACAAATAGTGTAGTATGAAGATTAGGGAAATGGTAGAAATATTTCACTTAATAATTGTCAAATTACATATTGCAACCTGGGTCTGGGTATATAACGTCTGTGTGTAATGAGGGCGTAACCTGTAATGGGCATCAGGTCCTTGCAAATAGATTGGGGTCTGTGCAACGTTAAACCAGTGTAACTTTGCATTCGCAAAGAATAAAAAATAAATGATTTGTATATCGTGAAAATAACGCACTGTTAATATATGTAGATAAAACATACTTTGATTAAAATATAAAAAAGGACAATTTAGCACATTCATTTTTTAAAGATGTTTCTATTTCAGGCACTCAGTGTACTGGAGACTGTGTCTGTAGGGACTGCACTACTAGACTCTTCAAAGGAAAAAAATATACATCTATTTATTATAACTTTAACGTAAGAAATATAAAAATGATACAAATTCTATCTTTAGCATCAATATGTTGAAGAGTCCATATGTCATTGATCAATTTGAGATGCGTATCAGGCTTCATCACCTGGCAATCTCCTACTTCCGGCTTCTCCTCTTTCTAACTTCCTTGATGGTGACCTATTTGGTGACGTTCTCATGTCACACACTAATGAGTTATCTTCTAAAGTGAGAACTTCCAAGAATTCAAACTAAATTCAAATGGAATTCAACAATTTACACCAAAATAGCCAAAGTCAATATCACTTTCAGTTTGGTTAGTTTGGCCTTAAATTCCCAGCAATTCTTACTTTAGTGTATAGCCCTCTTGTGGGAATTAAAAACCATTCACAAACATTCTTGTTACATTCACACATATTGGACCATATCGCCATTATGGGCCTTAATAGGACCAGTCCCTGTAGAAACCATAGTGTTACCACTGGCCTATGCTTTCCATATCTATGACATTTTCCTGGACACACATGATTTTCTCATGTTAATGGACAGTGCACGAAAAGTGCTGAACTGCAGTACATAAATTAAACCCTTACTTTCCTACCCGTAGCATCTGAATGATATATAATACATAACAACACTTTACACCTGCTGCCCTTTAATATGCTGAAGTGATGTCATTCCAGAAATTTAACATTACTATGGCCAAATACTTGAACAGGTGTTTTGTTTCAGATGTTTTATCCTGAAACTATGTGATGGATTAGCACCTTTGTATCTGTCCACAGATCGGAGCACCTTTGTATCTGTTCTCTAGAACAGTGGTTTCCAACCCAGTCCTCAAGTACCTCCTACCAGTCCAGGATTTAGGGATTACCTAATTGTATGTAAGGCATTTAAAAAAAAACAAAAAAACGCTTTAGACATAACAGGGTAATCCCTAAATCCTGTACTGGTAGAGGGTACTTGAGGACTGGGTTGAGAACCCCTGCTCTAGAATTTTACCTGAAATATAGTTTATCACAATATTATTATTATTATTATTAATATTATTATTATACAATATGGATGATTTTTACATTTAGATTTCATTTGCAGTTCAGTAAATACTCCTGAGAGTTATTCACTAAAGCATGAATTTTAGGGAAGGGGTCAAAAATTTTGGAGCTCAAGTCCTTGGTCTATTTTGACCCCAACAATGCCCCTGGCCAGAATAGTCCTACTGGAAACTTGGCTGAATTTTTTCTATTCAGCTATTGACTTCAATATGGAATTTAAATTCATTTTAAATTAAATTTTCTATTATAAATGCATCTCAAATGTACCACCTTTTTCCTCTGTACAGTTAATCATGTGATTAATCACATGATTCGATTTTAATGTATTAAAGAAAATGGTGTAATATGAAAATATGAAGCAATCAAAGTTACCCGAGTGTTTTAAGAGAATGCCATTGTGTGCAGTCATCGGTTTGTTTTATGGTGAGATCAGTGGTATGTTTTATATATTTTAAAGTATGCTCCAAGAATGAGTTATCTATGTGAACCCTGATAAGCTTGTATTTGTTAACTTTGAAGTAGTTACTTGAATCTGCCTATTAGCAGTTATACATTTCAGTCTTTCATTCCTGCTCTGTCCTTTAAATCCTTTAAAGCTTCAGTGTTCCTCTACAAAGAGTCCTGATAATAAGGTACAATGAGAAAGCAGTGTTTAGATACATAATCTCATACACACCTTCCAAAACTTTTAGCAGCTTATCATGAGACCAATTATACACAATATTACAAAAATAGATCTCTAACATGGACTGATAATTATTCTTCTGAGTCTGTTGTGCATATTTGAGTCTAATTAGTTTTAGTAATCTGTACAAGATATTAATAAACTCCTTATTTGTATTACGATCACATATTTTCATTGGAAAACTATTAGAGATTTGAAATGTTGTGTGCATATTAGTTCAACTAGAAATAGTAATTTAATATTTCTACAGTGTTCAGCTAAGTAACATAGAAGTCAACATTCTATGCCCAGTAAGCCCTTCAACAGCAAAATTGACTATACTTTTTTTCATGTATTTTGCAGTATGAAATCTAATTCATAAAGCCTCACTCACCCTAATTTATACATGAATTATATATATATATATATATATATGTATATATATATATATATATATATATATATATATATATATGTATATGCACAGCATATACAGTAACATTTCTTAATGCTAGAAGCCACCAGTCACTGATGTAACGATGTAACGCCTGCAAACTTGTTGAAAATGTAAGCGTGTCCTCTGCTTTCAAACAGGAAGTTTAAATGGGTCATATTATTCCTACAGCCAAGAGTGAATGGAGTACAGTATATTTTCACTGTTTGCGTAACATTAGTATTCCAGAGATTCACAACGAATATTAAAACCATTTTAAATACCTTTATTTAAGAAATATAAGATTTAACTGTATTTACCCAACATGGGTATAATGCATAAATGCAGACATTGTTTTTACATTTTATTGCCATTTTTAGTAAGCTGTACCATTTTTTTATTTGTGTTTGTCATACCTTCTTTACGTGAGAAAAAAACAGCATTGTTCCTGAATGACAGGTCCACTCAATGAGATTAAAAAAGTCCAGGTACAATACAAGTTATATAGATGTATGCCCAAAGATTCAGTCTAACCACCATAGCCACTGAAGCATATTGTAGTGTATATGGTGTCAGTACTCAGCAGGTGCTATAACATAGTACATAATACTTACCTGTATCCCTCACTGCAAACAGCCCAGCCTCCTCTACAGAGATCCTCTACAGAGATCACATCATAGAAAGCCTCAGTGACATTAATTCTTAGTGACATTATTTGCATAGATTTGAAATATACCTATGAGGAACAGAACTTCCACCTTAGTGTCCATTAGAAAAATTGTATGACTACTTATGATGTGGTTAGTGCAGGAATTACTTGCACCATAACCACTCCAGCATGCTTAAAGTGCACTTTTAGGTCTCCATAAAGGCCTTGAAAGTGTATTGTTATTGTATCCCTTTACCATGAGTCATTTCATATAAACTAATACAAAATTCACCTTATCAAACACGCTACCAGCAGATATAAATATCGATCTTACATTTAGCGAATTCTCTGTAGAAAATAAATTCTTAACTGCGGTCTTTGCTAAAGAGTAAACTATGCTGAGTTGATAACATATTCAATACATCAGGCTTAACACCTAAAAAACTGATATCTTGTCCTGAGTTTCCAGTTAAAAGTACAATGTATGCTTTAAATAATACTGTTCAACCACAAACATATAACTCTTTGGGACTCGTCAGCCAAGTGATGACTTGGTTTGTTGAAGGAATACTTCATCAAGGTAAACATTAATAAAGTTGTGGTGAGAGAAATGAGTAGAATCTTACTTCCTCACTTAAATCAACCACTGCCTAACCACAGACTGTCTAGTGGTGTGTTGGTTTTTATTTGGGAATCTTCAACACAACATCAATCTAAATATTAATAAAGTTGTGGTAACAGGAGAGAGTAATATAAACACCCAACCTGCTTACCAAAAGAGCACAGAGTTTTCTACAGTCTGTCATAAAGATGTTCATCCTTAAGCCACTTAGCAAGGAGCTGGTATGTTTACACAATGCTGAAACGTTGTCCATGTCTGGCAAATGGAGCACTTAATTCTGATTAAAATATAACTATGTAATGCACACTAGCATGTATATTTAAAAAAATTAAGCCATTATAATTCACAGACAAAGATTACATTATATATATAAAACAAGCCCCAGAGTCTCTATGTCTGGGGGATAATTGAGTGTACTTTGCTTAATCTAATTATCTCCCAGGCACTAGAGGTACAAAATATAAAACATAAAACACCCCAAAATACATATAACATACATAGGAACCCCTACAAGTATTATATACCCAGATATACGTGCCCAAATTAGTTCCAGAGAAATATTGGTAGCGGACGGTCATCTTCGGGAATTCCAAAACGAATGAAAAGTCAAACGGTTCCCCTAGCTCATAGGTAGCGATTGTTCGCCTTGTTCGTGTGAACAATCCTACCGAACAGCGCTCTTCTGGCTTGTTGTGAAAAGTAGGAGGCGTTCCTTACCAAATCACAGGTGTTCGCGGGGTTGAGTGTTCGCTTTAGAGTTCCAGACACTCGACGATCAACTACCGCTGCCTGCTTTCTGGAGAGAAGATGGCCGCTGTTTTACAGCGCACATGTTGTTCGGTTATACGAAAGACCATCACACACAGAGAGCACTTAACTTTGTGGTTTTCTTTGAAGTTAAATGAGCCAAGGCATGGTCGGTGTCTGGTAGGCCAATCTACCAAATGCAGAGAAAATAACTGGGACAAGGGAAATTACAGGGGTTTGGCACGATAAATATTGATTTTTTTTTTACCTGCAATCAATTCCATAGTTCCAACGCAGTTGTGTACATTTGTATTCATTCTTGAAGAGATATCCTGTATTTTTTTACTTCAATTCAAAGCTATGCAGTTTCTAGGTAGTGTGTACACACATTTAAAGACCACTAAAATGCGTGAAATTAGTTACAAATTAATTGCAACTTTTGTGCTTTCCTGTTTGTGTTCTGTGTAGTCATTTCTGCAAACATGTTGACATTATACATTTCTAATATGAGTAGTAGGCAGCCACATGATCCTACGTTGTAGCTGAAATGTTTTCAGAGAAAGTATTCGCCATGAACCCCTTACTTGGGTGATTACTGAATGCAGACATTGAAAAGTGTTGTATTACTAGGCTGTCATCTTAAACTGAACTATGACATATTCCAAATGGGAGAGATTAAGGCATTTAGTCAGGCATTTGTAGTGAAAAGCAAACAACTGCTTTTATTAATCTTCATTTCCTACTATTAAAGTCCACGCTGAATACTCAATCTACAGCATGGAAATTAACTTTTAGAGGGAAACTGAGCTAGCAAGAAAAAAATGGCCGAAGAGCACAAACAAGATAGTTACCTACATCATCAAGTTTCAAGGAAACAACAGAACAAACTGAAATATATAAACGAGTTTATCCTCACACTAGTCAACAAAACACTTTAATATTCTGATTCTGTAGCTTTATCACAGAAATTTGCCTTTCATACTGTGTGCCTTGCCATTCTGGGTACTAGAGAAAAAAATATTAATTTAAAAAAAATAAAAAAATTAGAGGGTGGGTAGGGTTAAAATTAAATGGAGTAACGAGGAGTACATGAAGTTCAAGGTGTAGCATAATAATGAAAAAAGGGATATAAAATGTGGTGAGATATGAGGGATCGTTGGATAAAATAAAGGTTAAGGTATGTTAAGTGTGATGAGATTATATACAGATAAGATATATGAAGTATACTAAGATTAAACAAAGGTGTGGGAAATGAGGTGTGAGATAAAAAAAGATGAGGGATACAAGGTGTAGTAAGATAAAATGATAAAGAGGGGTATGGAGCGTTGTGGGATAAAATAAAGAAGACGGCAATGGAGGGGGGAATGAAATAAAAAATAGAAGCTACATCCTCTTGGCTTTTTGGAAAGCATAAAGTATAACTATGAGAATAGGAATGTGTTACCAAAATAAATTAAAGTTAAAAAAGCAGAAGTTATATCTCATATCTCAGTTCAGTAAAAGAATATATTCTATTGCAAAATATTGTATCAAGGAGGTGAGCAATTTTGGTTTTATAGTGAACTACAGCTGAAGTAGGTTATGTGGTATTATATTGATTTTTAAAAAAATAATTATTCTGTTGGTCATGACAATGGTTGCAAAATTATGCTAAAAAATTACTTTAATGCTGCCCCCCTATATTAAGCGTTAATATTTCATAAAGACAGAATCTCTATGAAATACTCATATTGACTGTGATGGAATTTCCCCGAAATTCCAACCCAGCAAAGAGATGTACCGAGACAAAGTAGGGACTACATTGTCTCTGTATTCCTCCTCCGCTTGACTTTTCTTGTCACTAAGTATCATACTGAATTGGCTGTGACTATGGAGGAACCCGCGTTGTCGTTAAATTCCCCATAGACCTCCACACTGTACTCTGGCACACGCCAGTGGCACTGCCGCTTTAAGTGCGAGCGATACACAATGTCGTGGTTTGCTATTGACTCAAATGGTATAAGTGAGTTTTATTTTACAGGATGTCTGCTCTGTGTAACTTTTGTATTAGTTATATTGTTAATGCATATTTCACTTGAGAGAGTTGAAGGAATTCCATTTTGTTAGATGCCATGCAGGAAGACTATACATTGTTTGAAGATTATAAAAAGCCCCACTTCTATTCTGGGTAAAATTTTATTTTAACAAGTTTAGAGCTGGGACTGGTGATAACTGACAGCAATATGCATATACAAAACACTGTGTGGTCTTTTGTTATAGGCATGTTGTTAGCTTACATTGGCAAAGACGAAGTAAAGACGGAATAAACCCGTCAAAAGATGATTTACTCCTGTGAAGTTTCTGGTGTGAAGAATTTTCGTTCAGTTTATATTTCCGTATTTTTTTATTGATCTGTAGAATTCATAGATATAAGATCTTTGCTCAGGCATTAACTGGCAAGAGGAGAGCATTATTTTATTATTTAAATCTGAAGCCTTTGGGGTTAGGTTTTTTATAATTTAAAAGATAGTCCACTGGTGGCCAAAAAAATGCACTCCGAAAGCACCATGTATGTGTTAGCTCATGACGCTTAGCCTAGTATTACCACCTAAAGCTGGACGAGTTAATGTGGAAGTTTATTTCTGTATTAGACAAATGTTAGCAGATGGGTCAGCATGAAAGGAAGATTTTTTTTTCTCAAAATGCTTGTAAACAGTTAAACATAAACTGGGGAGACTGCTTTGATAACCAGTAAAATACTTAGGGTGCTTAGCGTGCCCCTTTAATGTACAATAATTTATCTTTATACCTGTACCAGTTTGGCTGATTTACTGAATACAAAATATTTTGCTCTGCAAAGTAAAATTGTGGAGTTTATTTACTATAAACCATTAGGGGTGAGGAATTCATAATGGAATTGCAAATTTGGTCCCATGGTCAAATCTGAAACATTTTCAACTCAGCAACTGTGCCTTTGCTATTGTGACTAAAAATTAAAATTTTATTGGCACTTCTTCAGTTTAGTGAAAAAAACAAAATAAAAAACAAACATTCATGTTATATATGTGAGACAATTGCATTTGAAAGGGTTACTCCAACCATTATTCCCATTACAACCCATTGTAATGATTATGATGTAAGGAGTACACTGACCCCAATCCCAGTAATGTATAGCAAACAGCTTTGTAATTATTTGCCCCCATACCTACCTCCCACCTGGTGCCATGGGTCCTGATGCTCTTCGCTGCAGAAGCCAGACACCAAGGCCATCCCCATTCATCGGCTGAGAGTGCTAAACGCTTTTTATGCTACACATACAAAATCAAGGCACCATGACCACTTCAAATCACTGAAGTAGTCATAGTACTTAGAGTTAGAGTAACGCTTTAATAACAAGTCACAATAAGTACATACTAGTTCTCTTGCATTATATTCACTCCATTATATTAGGAAATCGAAACAGTGTACCCAAGTGGAAATACTGAAACTTTATTTCATTAGGAGTGACAATCTAATGGCACCTGCTGATAAACACATGGATCTAAATCCTACTTTTAAAAACAAAGAAATGAAAACTATTTTACATGCATATTATCATATTTTTACATCATCTGCACTGATAACATTTAGTTATGTATAAAGAATCCCCTCTACTAGGAGACTTTAGCACCAGGACTCATTTGAATAACTTCACATTTCCCTAAAAGCAAGTCTGGTATTTTTAGAACCTATTTCAGACTTTGCCCATCAGGACGGAACTTAAGGAGTCTTGTGTTATAACAGTTGCACAAACTGTCCAAATAGCTCCCCGAGAACTTCCACAATGTACTTAGTCTTCACTTAAGAGTATGAACCACATTCAGCATGTGAGGTCTGAAATATCACTCTAAATGTGTTTTAATCTACTTTAAAAAAAGCAAATACCAGACCTGTACAGACAAAATCCAACACTGTTTGGCATTTAAATTAAGTGAGTTATTCTTCAGAAGTTACTGTCTCCCTACTGGAACTGTAAGGGGAGAAAATTCAATTATACAAGAAGTTTGAATGTGCTTTTTATGCCACAAACATTTATCTCTAATAACTAAACATCCCATCTGTGCCATCTGTACTATATAATGATATTCGCTGGAAAACTGGCATTTAAATACATCGGTTTCTGGCATACTCTAGCAAGAGGTGTAATAACTAAAGACCACACATTATTTTTTTCCTCTAATGCTACCAAGAAAAATTTTATTTGGCTACATTGAGAACTGTACCGACATTGACAGTTTACCAAGTCATATTCACATTGATATTCTAGACTAGACCAAGTCTTCTAAATCTCAGACAGTTATTAACCCCATCCATTGCAGTTTTCTTTGCATTTAAAGATTGTGTGATAATAATTAGAACCCGAGATGAAGAACCAGTATAAGACATAGGACAAAATAAAAATAGTATTTTTTTTTAGAATGCTTGAGGATACCTTAAAAAAAAAAGAATGTAAATGTTCACAATTGAAATTTTTCATTTATTTGTATTTTTCTTACAGAAATATTAGAGTAGAGAGTTTAAGTTTTATGCAGAGGGAACTACTGCTGGTGCAGTCACTGTGTCTGCACCGATGTCTGTTGGTTGGGGGGGCCCATCGAGTGGCCCTCACATTTGAGACCACCCAATGGGAATCTTCGATCAGGGGCCTGAATGGGTACCATAGCTCTTTAACAGCATAGATCATCAGTTTAGCCATGTTGCTGGGAGAAAATTAGTACAGTTCACTGTCCTCCCAACTTACCTTAGAACTGCACTGAAATAGGCAACATAATAAGCAGAGAAAAGAGGGGAGAGAGAGAAAGGAGAGAGCTTGGACCAGCCTCAGACACCTTAAGTCTCAGTCAGCACCAACCGCATCCACTGGACCCCAGGAAAGCCAACCCTGCTCTGCATTCAAAAGGTATAGAAACAAGAGGGTGGCTAATACATATGTAGAATATGACTTGTATAAGTGTGTGCTTGAGCATGTGTATCTGTGTGTCAGTGTGTATTTATGTGTCATAGTGTATCTGTTTGTGTGTGTGTGTGTGCATCTGTGTTTGTGTGGCAATGCATGTATCTGTGTGTGTGAATGTGTATACGTCTGAGAACTCAAACACCAATACTACACACAAACACAGCCCTACATTCAATGCCAATACTATATACAAACACACAATCGCAATCAAACGGCAACACTATAAATGCACCACTGCAATCAAACGGCAACACTATAAATGCACCACTGCAATCAAACGGCAACACTATAAATGCACCACTGCAATCAAACGGCAACACTATAAATGCACCACTGCAATCAAACGGCAACACTATAAATGCACCACTGCAATCAAACGGCAACACTATAAATGCACCACTGCAATCAAACGGCAACACTATAATTGCACCACTGCAATCAAATGGCAACACTATAAATGCACCACTGCAATCAAACGGCAACACTATAAATGCACCACTGCAATCAAACGGCAACACTATAAATGCACCACTGCAATCAAACGGCAATGGCAATTGATCTTCTGTTCCTGCCAACTTTATTAAAATACTGGACTTTGATTTATTATTGAAAAACCCTGCTGTACAACCTTCAAAACCAAAGAGACTGATCCTGTAAACGTTAAACTTATCAGTATTACTTGTTCCTCTATATTGTTTAGTTGTATTTAATTGTCCTGTAACCTATCATTTCTATTATAGGTTTTCCTTCTCGTCTCCTTCATACTCCCTGTCAGGTATAGCATGGCATGTAATTCATCGCCGGAACCCACTTCCGGGTTCACGGCGCTCAGCCCCGCCCCTTTCTCTGACGCGGTCACTCCACGATACTTAGGAGGACCGCGCCAGATTCAAAGGGCTGGATTATTCGCACAGGTGCTGCATGAAGATCAGCTGCTCTACTTCTGATCCTACCTGCTCCACTTCTATACCTCGGCTAGTAAACGGAATTCTACCTTCTCCACTTCTCGACCTCGGCTAGTAAACGGATTTCTACCTTCTCCACTCCTAGACCTCGGCTTGTAACTCTGAATTCTACCTTCTCCACTCCCAGACCTCGGCTTGTTAAACGGACTTCCCCACTCTCCACTCCTAGTTCTCAGCTTGTTGAAACGGACTTCTAATTTCTCCTTCATTGGGTGAATTAACCCTTCCAGTGCCAGAACTGCCTTTAAGTTAAGTAATACTTTTACCAAACAAGTCAATTACTATTATTTATATTACACATTATCTAAAACTCACTAAAGTGTCACTTTGTTTAATTATTCCTCTTACTCATAAGGGATTGTTACAAAGCCTAATTTTACCTACATGGATATTTAAAGGTACAGTGACCATAGTTTCATACCAATATAAAAGGAGGTGAACCTTATTGTTGTTGCAACCAAGAAATGCTGCAGTTGAGTTCCAATTAAAGAAATATTACAAAATAAATATTACAGAATAATCCAGCCTATATTAAATGGAACCAGCAGATATTAACTCTCAAGTTTCTGCCCTAACCAATAGAGTGGATACGATTGCTCAAGGGTTACAGGAACTGCAAATTACAAATGAGAGAATATTAACCTATGTTAGAGACATTCAAGGTCATCTTCCTCATGCCGCTCTTCAATCGGCTGGTGATCCTGCTGTCTGTAATCCAGAAAAATTTTATGGAGATAGAACAGAGTACAGAGAGTTTTTGAATTCTTGCAAACTACTAATAGCTTTAAAACCTAGATCTTATCCCACCGAAAGATCCAAAGTCTGTTCAGTGATCTCTTTTTTAAGAGGTGAACCTATGGCATGGGCCCATTCCTTTTTGGAAAATGATGATCCCATATTGGATTCATTGGAAGAGTTCTTTGAAGCTATGTCTTTATTATATGAAGATCCTTTTAAACAAACTACTGCTGATTTAACCATCAGAACATTACACCAAAAGAATAGACCTGTTGAAGATTATATTGCAGAATTCAAAAGATGGGCTACAGAAACCCAATGGAATGACATTACTTTACGCAATCAATTCCGTCTCGGATTATCTGAAGCTGTGAAAGATGAACTTTCTCGTACAGAACTTCCTCCTACCTTAAATGCATTGATTCAACTGTCTATCAGTATTGATAGACGTCTAAGAGAAAGAAAAGCTGAAAGGGTTCTTACTAATTCTACCTGGAGAAAACCTTTCACTACTCTAAAACTACCTGAAAAATTCCTCCACAAACTGAACCTATGGAAGTAGGTATAATAAAAAGTCCTCTTACTTCTGAAGAAAGAATAAGAAGGAGACAACTAAACTTATGTATGTATTGTGCTTCGAATGAACATCTAATTTCCGAATGTCCTCTACTGAAACATTCAAAAGGTGGTAAGCTTCATTCATCTACCTCTATATTGAACGTTTTACAAAAAAGAAAAGCATCTACTTATTTTTCTATATCTCTCATATTACAGTGGGATACAAAAAGAATCGTGACTGAGGCCATCATTGATTCTGGTGCTAATGGAACTTTTCTTGATTTTTCTTTTGTTTCAAAAAATAAAATTCCTTGTGTTCAAAAAACCAATTTTATTCCAATCAGAGTTATTGATGGTTCATTTATATCCTCAGGACCCATCAAAGATGAAACAATCCCTCTAAGAATGATTACCAACAACGTACATTTCGAATTCATTACATTTGATATTATTAAATCTCCACTCTATCCCGTCATTCTAGGAATTAATTGGTTAAAAAACCATGATCCTTTAATTAAGTGGTCTCCCTTCTCCATCTCCTTTGCTTCTGATTTCTGTAAAAAAACTTACTTAAACCACACATCCCTGATCCTTTTTATAGAGAAATAGTAACAACTCCTGAACCTATCATTGTCCAAGGTGAAGAAGAATATGAAATTCACAAAATTTTGGATTCTCGTGTCCACCGTGGCTCCTTACAATACCTTATCAGATGGAAAGGTTATGGAGTTGATGAAGACACTTGGGAAGATTCATCTAATGTACATGCTTGGAGGTTAGTTACTGCCTTTCACAAACGCTATCCCTCCAAACCGAAATAGTGCACCCAGAGGATGCCCCATGGGAAGGGGGTACTGTCAGGTATAGCATGACATGTAATTTATCGCCGGAACCCACTTCCGGGTTCACGGCGCTTAGCCCCGCCCCTTTCTCTGACGCGGTCCCTCCACGATACTTAGGAGGACCGCGCCAGATTCAAAGGGCTGGATTATTCGCACAGGTGCTGCATGAAGATCAGATGCTCTACTTTTGATCCTACCTGCTCCACTTCTATACCTCGGCTAGTAAACGGATTTCTACCTTCTCCACTTCTCGACCTCGGCTTGCAAACGGATTTCTACCTTCTCCACTCCTAGACCTCGGCTTGTAACTCTGAATTCTACCTTCTCCACTCCCAGACCTCGGCTTGTTAAAACGGACTTCCCCACCCTCCACTCCTAGTTCTCAGCTTGTTGAAACGGACTTCTAATTTCTCCTTCATTGGGTGAATTAACCCTTCCAGTGCCAGAACTGCCTTTAAGTTAAGTAATACTTTTACCAAACAAGTCAATTACTATTATTTATATTACACAGTATCTAAAACTCACTAAAGTGTCACTTTGTCTAATTATTCCTCTTACTCATAAGGGATTGTTACAAAGCCTAATTTTACCTACATGAATATTTAAAGGTACAGTGACCATAGTTTCATACCAATATAAAAGGAGGTGAACCTTATTGTTGTTGCAACCAAGAAATGCTGCAGTTGAGTTCCAATTAAAGAAATATTACAAAATAAATATTACACTCCCCTATAACTATGTTTATAGGGTCTGCTTCTCTCTCACAGCCTGTGTCCTGATAACCTGCTTAGGGCATATTGCCTGTCTTTCCTGATATTACCTATAATTTCTATTAGAAGTTTTCCGTCTCTTCTCCTTCATACTCCCCTATAATTTTGTTTATAGGTTCTCCTTCACACTCCCCTATAGGTTCTCCTTCACACTCCCCTATAGGTTCTCCTTCATACTCCCCTATAGGTTCTCCTTCACACTCCCCTATAGGTTCTCCTTCACACTCCCCTATAGGTTCTCCTTCATACTCCCCTATAGGTTCTCCTTCACACTCCCCTATAGGTTCTCCTTCATACTCCCCTATAGGTTCTCCTTCATACTCCCCTATAGGTTCTCCTTCACACTCCCCTATAGGTTCTCCTTCACACTCCCCTATAGGTTCTCCTTCATACTCCCCTATAGGTTCTCCTTCACACTCCCCTATAGGTTCTCCTTCATACTCCCCTATAGGTTCTCCTTCATACTCCCCTATAGGTTCTCCTTCACACTCCCCTATAGGTTCTCCTTCACACTCCCCTATAGGTTCTCCTTCACACTCCCCTATAGGTTCTCCTTTGTACTCCCCTATAATTTTGTTTATAGGTTCTCCTTTGTTCTACTTCTATTACTTCCTATAACCTGTCTCCTGATAACCTGCTTACCTCATTACTAACCTATAATTTCGTTAATAGATTCTATTTCTATTTATCTCTTACAACCTGTGCCCTGATAACCTATTTAGGGCATATTGCCTAAACCTAAATTTCTATTATCTCCTTTCGTCTGTATTGTTTCCTTTTCCCCTTAAGTTCTGCTACACTGATTATATTGTTGTCAAATCATGTCTACAGTTCAACATAAAGTTAAGTCTCTTGTCTGACCTGATGCAAAACCTGACACTTACTGTTACAGCAGTAAGCACACCGCCCCTATCCTTACCACAGTATCTGCTAGAATGCAAATGTATCCTCTTGAATCTGTTTACATTAAGGGAGGTGGCTCAGCTTGACATTCAGTCACTGTGCTTGATCTATGATTCCCTGACACGTCAAAACTTAGGCTAGATTAGGAGGAGCAATGCAAAAATGATATTTATTCTGTGAGAGGGTTAATAATGATTGCATGTATATTTGTAAAATATTAACATATTCTAGAGTGATCAATCTTAATATTATGAATTAATGCACGAGTGTTTAAAGTATAAACTGCGTATTTTAAATACGTTATAACAATATTGAAGATTTAAAATGTTCACACATTGTTTCAATTTGCATAATTCAGAAACCTTGGGAGACTTAAGAATTTCACACACACACTATCAGCTTTCTAAATGAAAGATCATATGCTCTCAGGGAGATACAGTTGAAGGGGAACTATTATGATATTTTGTATTTAAGTAGACTTTATAGTGAGAGGTGATTTTCAGACAACGTCACATTTGCCTGGCTTAAATGTTCTGATTCTTCGCTCTGCCAACGAAACCTATTCAAATCTCACCTTACTGCTATAACTAATATTGTTAATCTTCATAAGTAATATAATGCGTGTCTGTATTTAGAAACATTTACGTAATAATGATGATTTTAATGACCATTTCAATCTCCATAATCAGCACAGTATGCAGTAGCCAGTGTCTGCTTGTTGATTAGTAGACATGTCCCTACTGCGCCATAGTGGGTCGGGGCATGAGGGAGGACTGAAACCTCACTTACTCTAATAAGGGGGTCATATTGAACCTCATAGGCTTCATTTTTATGCAGAAATTTAGGCTTCTAAAAGTTTGTTTAAGAAGTAATATGGTCTGTTTTTGTGTTGTGTTTTGCATTTGGCCATTCATCTTTCAAAGGAAGGGCCAAATTGCCAAAAAAATTTATTGTTCCAAAAACAAATGTTTGTCTAGTAATTCTATGTACTATTGCTTCTAAAAGCAACATAAATCTCAGTTTACAAACTTTACATATTGATTTGTTCATTTTAGGAGGCGGTTAATTCTCACTGTCCTGTCTTCTTGCCTTTCCTGCATTTCTGTTTTCCAACACAATCACTCAAGGATCAAAATTTCCACTAACAATTAGCTGTTGTTGAGTGAAAACTCCCCCCTTGGTGACTATGCCCTGGGCTCACTAGGCTTTCAGTCTCCTGTAACATTTAGACCCGTCTAGTAACATAGGATTTGACAGTTTGTTCCCTAAAAATAAAATTTCTTTAGCAATATATCCGGTCCAGGAAAAATAAACAAATGAATAAAATAAATAGCACTATCTATAATTTTCCAAACTTGCTCACTGATTTGACAGCCCACCACTACTCACTATGTAGTGCTGTGTGGGTAACTGATACATCTGAGCTGCTCCTAAACTATAGCTCTCATATTACTTACCAGTCATGAAAATAGCATCATGGGGTTTGTAGTTCAGTCAACAGCTGGGGAATTCCTGGTCAATTCTGATATAGTGACAAAAATCCCAGAGATTTTGCACAGCGTAATCATGTTATTATTTATATAGCGCCAACAAATTCCGCAGCGCTTAGCACAAAGGTACCAGTAATGCATATACTAAATTTCGAACACTAACGTAAACAAAACTGAAATGTTACTTTTTTGTTGGTTTGGGGGAGAAAGATAAGATTTCGTTAGTGAAAAGTAAGTGCAGTTGTGGAACGAACAACTAAAACTGGAACAGTAAGGGTATGTTAGGCTAGGGGTAGCCTGTCATTATAGCCTGTTATATTGGTGTCTGAGGTATGATTTAATGTAAATAGCATTTTACATTTTTTTTTATATTGACTATATTAAGCATTTTTCTGCTGAAAATTCATCTTAATTTCAATTTATATGAAAATTATTTACACAGTGCTTGAGTTGCTTACTGCGTCCATTAGTGAGATCTAAGAAATAATGCATCCTGGCAGTAAAAATACAAATAAAATAAGAATTCTCCCCTTCAGCAGTCGATCAATATTTAATGAGAACTTCACATTCAGTTAGATCATTACATCTTATGCAATGTTAAGCCATTTCACCTAGATCTAAAAAAAGAGCTTCTATGAAAACCTGATGTAACATATTTGTCCAACAGAAAACCATTATGACATTCCCAAAATGTTAAACTAATTTTAACAATGTTGAGTACATTAATATTGACTTATCAATCAATGCATCTTTATGGGGGCATGTTCGGTGTCTCCATGCAGAGCGTGGAAATGCTGAACGCCAATGCAGCACACTGTGCAGGACTGGCCCAGGAAACACCTCTAGTGGTCATCTGAGTGACTGCCACTGTAGGTGTTCCTAGGATGGAATGTAAACAATGCCTTTTCTCTTACAAGGCAGTGTTTACAATAAAAAACCTGCAGGGACTGAGTATAGACACCAGAACCACTAAATTAGGCTGTTGTGGTGACTATAATATCCCTTTAAATTACAGATCACAAACTGCTGTTGCCGTGTAAATTCAATCAGATTAACAACAGCTGGCAAACTTAATTTTCTGTGCAAGGAAGCCAAAATGATTTGTTTTTTTACTTCTGCTTGTAAATCAACACCCCAATACAACAATGCAATTATATCTTAATTGCCACCATATAGCTACTTACACTGTATATGTTGTAGCCTTGTACACCACATGGTGGCGCTAGCTGGAATTAAGGTTCTTATCCATTTTTTATCGGTAAAAGCCCTTCCAGTAAGCAGTTTCATGGTTAAGCATTTTTTAATTTTGTCTGTTATTTTTGTGTAAAAATCTGTTTTTAAATATTGTATTAAAATAGATTCTTTTTTTTTTAGATATATGTGGAAGCTTTCTTCTAAGTAATTGGCTTTAATTATTCTTTGACATGGAGTGCATGTTTTGATAAGCACCGCCCAGTTTTGATTTCCCTGTGAAATATTTCTATAACTGGGAGAGTACTTTTTCACATGTGGAAAATTCATTTATGTATTGCAGGAGAACCAGTTCCCATTTTGGGCATGCTTCACTTGGAGTCAAACTGAGACTATTTGACCATAATGCTGTCAAAGTAAAAAAAAAATAATAATAATCTGAAATAGTAATTTGCACACCATGTTTATTCAATATTGTGCAAACAATTCCCAAAAGTGTAAATGCAGATGTTAATTGGAAAGTGGAAGTTCAGTTGCCAATCTGTACGTGTTTCTTTGTTTGTCAGGAACATTTCTAATCCCTAGAAAGCACGAAGATTCTTGAACATGTGCAGTCCAAGTCGTGCCTGATTTTACCTGAACCACCATCATTGCTGGTTGTACCTGCCCAATTAGAACAATTCCTGTATGTTAACCAGCAATTGTTTAATTTTAATTTTACACCCTGTTGATCCAGTAATAAGAAAACCGTCCACGTACAACAACTGCTGATTACTCCAATAAAGTTACCATATTGGATAGTTCTAATCGGTGATATATTTAAATGGACACTCCATGCCCGAATTACAAAAATTACAAATCGCTATTCAGTAGATATGCCCCCATTGAAAATATGTATGATTTTTTGTTGTTGTTGAGGTATATCTATAAACAGCTTTCAAAAACTAAAGACTCCTTGTCTGTAGCCTCTGCCATCCATTCCCTTTTTTACAAGCCCAGACTTTCCATGGCTAGTCAATCACAGACTTCCCAATGCAGCTAAATGAAGTCTGTGCAAGACAGGTGCTCTGAGCAAAACAACCAGGAAGTAACAGGACTGCTTGTCTGATTGACAGCCAGAGGGGTGGGGTGTAAATTATTTTTTAAAGTGCCAATTTCTACTGAATCATGTACTTTTTGTAAAATTAAGAAAGAGAGCACACACTACTCACACAAAGCAATTAAGGAAGCTAAAGTTATTTAGCTGTTTGGAGTGTCTCTTTAAGAAATACATACTTCAGGGCTGCATTGGCCTTATATCTATATTTACCACCAGCCTACTCTGTCCCTAATGTAGCAGTAAAGAAATACACTTTCTATCTTTCTATAAGGGTTTTACATTAAAACATTGATCCAAACCCTAACCACTTCCTTGATTATTAAATTATTTTATAAATAATGAAGGATATTTCTTATGTTCTTTGTTATGCTCAAAAACCCCCCAAACTGACTTATTTTTAACTGTAGCTCACATACAGGGGCGGACTGACCGGTCGGGCACTTCGGACACGGTCCGAGGGCCCGGCTGGGAGGGGGGCCCGCCGCCAGGGCCGCCTTCAGGGGGCCCGGCGGCAGGGCTGGATTGGGGACTTGAGAGGAAGGTGCCACCGGGTGGCCGGTCCGGTGGCACACTGTGAGGGGGGGGGCGGCCGTTTGATGCTGGAGCCGCCGGACCGGGTGGCAGCCTCACCGGTCCGGCGGCATTCCTTTCAATAACGCTGAAGAAGGAGGAGGCGGAGCATGTGTCTATCATGCTCCCTGTGGTTCCCACAATTCCCAGCACAGGATGTGGGAACCGCAAAGGAGCATGATAGACACATGCTCCTCCTCCTCCTTCTTCAGCGTTATTGAAAGGAATGCCGCCGGACCGGTGAGGCTGCCACCCGGTCCGGCGGCTGCAGCATCAAACGGCCGGCCCCCTCAGACTTGAGTAAGGGGGAAACAGAGAGATGGGGAGGGAGGGGGGAAAAGAGATATGGGGAGGAGGAAAAAGAGATATGGAGAGGGAGGAAAAGAGATATGGGGAGAGGGGAAAAGAATATAGAGGGAACAGAGGTGCTGGGAGGGAAAGAGATGGGGAGGGAACAGAAGAATATGAGGAGGGGGGGAACAGAGATATGGGGAGAGGGGAGAAAGAGGGGGGAACAGAGATATGGGGAGAGGGGAGAAAGAGGGGGGAACAGAGATATGGGGAGGGGGGAGAAAGAGGGGGGAACAGAGATATGGAAAGAGGGGGGAACAGAGATATGGGGAGGGGGGAGACAGACAGAGAGGGAAGAATGAGACACGGGGAGAAAGGGGGAATAGAGAGATAGGGAGGGGGAGAAAGAGACACAGGGGGAGAAAGAGATGGGGAGGGGGAGAAAGAGACAGAGAGGAAGAGAGATGTGGGGGAGAGAGAGAGACAGGGAAAGGGGGGAGAAAAACAGTGGAAGAGAGGGAGAAAGAGGCAGAGGGGTAAGAGAGACTGGGAAGGAGGGGGGAGAAAGAAACATACAGAGGGACGGGGGGAGACAAAAAGGCACACAGAAGGGCTGTATATATCACTGGTGGATCCAGGGGGGCAACAGGGCAATTGCTCCCCCTCCCCTGTCCGCAGGCACCGTGCGGGCAGGGGAGGAAGGAAGAGAGGACCTGGGAGCTCACCCTGCAGCTCCTCTGGGTCCTTCTTGCACGAGCACAGAGCGTTGCCGCGATTACCATGGCAACGTTACCGCTCTTGCGAGAGTCAACTCTAGCCCTGGAGCTACGGTCTAGTGTTCACTCTCAACACTGTGACCCCCAGGGATTCCTGGTGGTCGCAGTGGTGAGAGTGAACTCTAGCCCCATAAACACACTGCCCCCACACACACACCATACACATTCACACACTGCCCCCATACACACCATACACATTTACACACATTGCCTCACACACACACATACACTGCCCACCCATATACACATAGACCCCCATACACAGCCCCCCATACTAACATTGCCACACACGTACACAGCCCACACACCCTACACATTCACACACTACACCCCCCACACACACTGAACCTTTCACACACATTGCACCACTGCTCCTATTCCCTACTACAGCCCCATATCCCAGCAGATCCCAGGTAAGTTGTCAAACTGTTCTTAAATGGTTTGACTACTTACTCTGGAGCAGTAGTGGTTATTGTGCATGGATTATTTCTTTAAATAATCTACAAGTGCCCCAGTAGCCAGCCAGCCAACCCACAGGCTGGCCAGTAGCCAGCCAGTTAGCCAGCCCACAGGCCAGTAGCCAGCCCACAGGCCAGTAGCCAGCCCACAGGCCACAGCAAGCCACAGGCTTACAGCCAGCAAGCCCACAGCCTGCCAGTTGCAGCCAGCAAGCCACAGCCTGCCAGCCGCAGTCAGCAAGCCCACAGCCTGCCGGCAGTAGCCAGCAAGCCCACAGCCTGCCAGCCACAGCAAGCAAGCCCACAGACTGCCAGCCAGCAACAGTAATTAAGGTAAGAGGAGCCAACTTGGCCTAGATATCAGTGAGCTATGCTGTGTTGCTATATTGTGAATAGGAACCAGAGTGTTGGAGAGACCACCCTCCAGGCCCCATTAGACTCCATTGTAGTCTCTAATGGGGCCTGGAGGAGATTCTTTCTAACACACTCTCTAAAGGACACTGAGATAGCCTCTGCTAGAAATCCCCTCCATGGCCCATTAGCCCTCAATTGTAGTCTCTACTGGGGCCTGGAGGCGACTGTTTCCAGCAGGGGATATCTAATGGACGCTGAGATGGCCTCTGTTAGAAAGACCCCCTTCCAAGCCTATTAGACTCCATTGTAGTCTCTAATGGGGCCTTGAGGGGATTCTTTCTAACACACTCTCTAAAGGACACTGAGATAGCCTCCGCTAGAAAGACCCCCCTCCATGGCCCATTAGCCCTCAATTGTAGTCTCTGCTGGGGCCTCGAAGGGCTTATTGCCCTTTTGTTCCTTGTGTCTAAAGATTGTGTAGGGTGTGGCTGGAGGCGGTGCATGGAGGCGGGACAAAGGTGGCTCTTGCTGCAGAGTATGGGTGGGGCCTGTAAGGGGGCCCTTGATTTATTTTGCCCGGGGGCCCTGAGGGTTCTCAGTCCGCCCCTGCTCACATACATCATCCATCTCAGAAACTATTATAATACATAAATAGTATTTACATTTGTTTAACATTGTTTCAGTCCTATCCTGTTACTGATATGCTGGGAGAGCAGCCCTGGAGAGAAAAATCTTGCTCTCTCTGTCTATCCTCTAGTGCAGGGGTTCCCAATACAGTCCTCAAGTACCCCCTGACAGTCCAGGATTTAGGGATTACCCTGTTGTGTCTAAAGTGTGTTGTTTGTTTTTTTTTCTTTCTTTCTATAAACACCTTAGACACAACTGGGTAATCCCTACATCCTGGACTGTTATGGGGTACTTGAGGACTGGGTTGGGAAGCACTGCTATAGTGGTATGTCAATAACATGAAGAGAGACTAAATTAAGCAGCTTCTTAGGTGTGTAATGCTCAGCAATGTCAGAGAGAATGGGACATGCACTCCTAATAAATCAGGGAACACGACACATTTGCTCTAACCATAGTTTTAAAAAGCCATGTAATGTAAAATACCATAATACCTTATGTATCTTCTTTTAGAATTCCTGCTTTACTTTGATCTCAAATAGGATCTTATCTTTATGTAACGTAGGCGACATAGTGAAACATATTTCCGCACCCTTTATCGCCAGATGACAAGAAGCTTGTTTTGCAAATCACATGAAATGTAATGTTTTAGTCCCCTGAGATTTTATAAAGCCTTTATAAAAAAAACAAAAAACATATCTTGTGGTTGTTGAGTAAAGGCTGTTAGACGAACTAAGGTCAAAGTTACTTCGACTGTTCCAAATCCAACTTTAGCCATTTGGATGTAGACCGATGTGTGTTTGAGTTCATTGTTGTGCTGAAAAAGCTTGGACCCCAAATAATCTCCTGCAAAAAAGGTCTCATATTTCAATTGCATTATCATTGTAAGTGTCGGAATCTCCACCGTACTTACTTCTACATTCTACTGATGCCCACAGTGTCTGACATTGTAACTAATTACCTACACTGCAAAATGGCCAAGGTGATCTGTATTTAGTCTTGTGAGCACAAAGGTGATTATGTGCAGCCAAATGGCGAGCAGCTCCCTGCCAAATACAGCATTATAAACACTCATTACTGCCTCAAATCAATGTCCTTTTGTTATTTATAACTCTATAGGGGTGCTTTCTCATTTATTAGATAATTTTATGGGGTATATATACTTGGGGAAAATGGGAACGAAAATGGGAACGAGGAAGGAAGAAAATAAATAAATGAAAAAAAATATATATATATGTATATATACAGATTCTACATGAACCTTACTCAATAGAACCCCACTATTTGGGGATAGACGATAGTGCCACACTTTGCAACCTCTTGGAGAGAGGGACCGCACAGCGCCCACAGGCTATTCACACACCTTTTTGTACAGATTTTGTAGTTAATCTTCTACAGACTTTCCACTTCTGGTTAGATTGCCCCTCAAACAAGGAACGACAATGGGTAATAAAGTGGATAGGTAGGGCTGATACGCCCCATACAGATCTGCAGCTCCCGCTCGGGACACTGACACATGACAGATGTCACCTCCCGGCACATCACCCACATGACTAAAGGGAAACCAGACACATGGGAGAGGAATAGGTCCAGGGTACCGGCACCCGCTCCTTCTGCTGTGGCAGGGTCCAGACAGCCCATTAAGCCTCTAGAGCACACACACATTTGACGCCAATGGAACGTAAATTACGTGCCATGGGTGAGGCTGTGAGGGATGACAGCGGGTGGGGAGGTATAACCCAGAATTGTATATCATTGGTGGTAATGCATTGTATGTAACTGTTATGATCTCCGATAGGAAGATGATATGTATTGATATGTGAATGCCTTAACATGCAAGACTACATTACTGCACCCGATGTCGTTCCTGTAAAATTATGTTAAAAAGTGTATAATCCTATGTTCAACCTCACCTGTACCCTGCAATTATTTTCTTTTCTGTACCCCTTGCTGCCTATGCAAATATTCAGAAATTAAAATTGTCAAATTGAATAAAATTAATTTCAGGGGGGAAAAAAATAGAAACTTATTTGCAATGCATTTTATGTTGTGTTCAACAATGGAACATACAAACAGTATTATTTTCTTTCAGCTAACGTTAATTATTAAAGCAAAAGGAAAAAAAATACATTAACCAGTGGAAAAATGCCTGCAGAAACTTTGTCAAAAAGATGTTCTTAACTATATAACAAGTATACAGGTTTATATAAAATGCGTGCAAAGGAATCAGTTCACATGCAAAATGTAAAATCTACTACATTGACCTTCATATTGGTCCTACATGTCATAAAGTTTTGCTATCTTTTAACACACACATTTGATTATATCCAACCATAAACATTGGACTTCCCTTCAGGAAACATTAATCAAAAAACGTCCCAATATTTTATTTTTTTTCTAAAGAGATTCTGCCTGAATGTGTTGGGCTTTTTAATGACAGTACATTAAATGACGAAGGACATTAGGCATTCTGTAGCATCAAACATTGTCGTACAATACCTTAGAGTCTGATTGTTTGTTTTCCAGAATATGATATCTAGCTATTCACAGGCTGGAAGAAGAAAATATTTTGATACTATTATTCTCTAAAGCAGCCATTAATCCATCAATTTAGTGACAACTTTTAAGCAGAGATTACATTGTTTGCTGAATTTGAGAAAATTAAAGGCTTTGCTGTTGCTATTATGTAATATTTTGGCACGTTCAACCTCTCTTACAAAGAGCTTTGTTTTTTTGTTAAAGAACATAATAAATTATTTTCTTGATAAGGAAAATAGACAGCAGTATAAAGCTAGATTATGCACGTATTTTGCTTTCCAAAAAGACTGACTATTTTTTTGAATTTCTTCCAGTTCTTCGGATGCGTATTAAAGAAGTGAAGATTGAGAATGGCGATCGTAAATTAATAGCGGCGCAAAAGAAGAAAAAAGTCTTAAAAGCAGGAAAACTTAAGAGAAAAGAATTCCGCAAGCTTGTCCTTTACATCAAAAATGCTGCAGGATGTCCGTGTCCTCAACTTGACAATCTAAGTGGTAGCTTTCTTATCATGGGTCGAAAGGTGGACAATAAACTTCTCCTTACTGCCATCTACAAGTGGGACAAAAAGAGCAAAGAAATGAAGTATGCGGTGAATTTCATGTTCTCATATCCATGTTCTGACACTATCTCTCATGGCACGGGGGCACACCTAGGAGCCTTTCGTTAAAACTTTGAATTAGAGAACTTAAGTGTTGCCCTTTCCCAGCCTTACCAAATGGATTTTATATTTTAGTAATAGCAGTAACATAGTATACTTGGCTTAAAAAAAAAAAGACAGATTACTAGGGTAGTCAAGTTGAGTAGTACAAGTGAGAGGCTGAAGAATGTGATCTTTTTGAAGAGGAGACAATGTGAATAAAGAAAAGAAGGAATAACTTGCATCTTCATTGGAAATATAAGTCGAACACACATGTTGTATAGGAAATTAGGTTGCAAGTGGAAAAATATATTTTGAACTGTAAAAGTGTTATGGTTGTTGAACGCAGTAGCTTATCATTTCCTTGAGTGAAAAGCTTAATTAGCAAGAACTTCAATAGGTCACTACTGGTAATGGAAAAGCTTTTTACAGATAAGTCGTTGAATTTTGACCTGGCAGCCTTGCATTCTTATACATTGTCCTTGATAGGATGTTACGTTAGCATGCCTTGACATTTTGCATTTTATTATGTTTACACACACACACACACAAACTCACACTTACAGATATAAATAAATGCATAAGTGTTTTTATAAATATATAGAATATCTAAATTCACCATGCCTATTGTAATCAAGGTTTGATACCGAAGTACCTATGGATGTCAATGGCCAAATAATATACAAAACAAATGAGGAGTGCTTGCAGGACTGTGTTACAGCACACTGCTTTGGCAAAACTAGTCTGTTACATGAGTCGAATGTGAAATAGCCACTGTCCCACTCTTCATCTGGGAGTTCTGTTGACGACTAAAGTGTGGATCCTTTCACAAATGTTTTGTGTAACAGACTTGCATTCAAGTGTATTTAACATGACTTGATTTCACTTCAAATAAAATAGAAAAATGTATAAATGATATGTTTGGAAAATGTGGGCTTTACTGCTATTGTGTTGAAAAATGTGGGCTTTACTGCTATTGTGTCAGCATAGCATTAAAGGGGATCTGTCACTATTGATGGTCATTGCATACTTTGACAGATCCTGTGTGGTCGCAGGTTGCGTGGGATGACAGGAAGATAGGTTTTACTAACATGAAACTAACCCTCATGGCTGCACCATCATCTTCCTGCTGTTCCTCTTCAGCTTCCGTTGCTTGGAGTCAAGTCCCTACTGTACACTGGAGAATCCCGCAAGACCACGGGAGCTTCCATAGAAGCCTGAATCCCACATTCGAGATGGCTGCTTTGATAAGACAAAAGTTGACTGTGGAGGTCCGCCTTTTATCAGCTTCATGTTGTCCACAAGACTAAGTAGCCCTTACTTTGTCTTGTAATATATGTAGATTGCATTGGAATTTCAATGAAATTTTAATGCAGTCTGGATCCGTATTTCATAACAAATATATCTTTATAAAATACTGAATGTTGACAGATCTGCTTTAAAGAATAGTAACATGATGAACTAGAGTGGCTCAGTCACCCCTCTAAGTGATGCAACAGATTCCCACAGCTCTTAGCGTGTACACACAATCTTGGAATTGTGGAATACTGAAGACATCATTGAGAGTAGGGGTTATTCATGAAAGGAATATTAATTAAGAATTCAAAGTAAATTTCAAATTTAAGTTTAAAATAGTGAACTGTAAAAATTATCTAAGTCAGCTATACTTCCAGTTCAGCTTCTCCGACCTTAAAAAGACACTATAGTCACCAAAACAACTTTAGCTTAATGAAGCAGTTTTTGTGAATAGATCATGCCTCTGAAGTCTCACAGGCAATTAGAAATTAAATCACTTTTTTTCTGTTAATAAAGCCTTAGCCACACCTCCTCTGACTGTGACTGAGACAGACTGCATGAAAACATTTTATTTTTTGTTTTCAATCAGATGTAACTTATTTTTAATGTTTTATGTCCTATTCTGTAATTTGAGTTTTAATTACATACAGGAGGCTCTTGCAAGGTCTAGCAAGCTATTAACAGAGCAGGAGATATGAAATTCTAATATTAACAGAATTTGCAATAAAGGAAGTGTAAACATTAGATGACTTTACAGGAAGTGTTTAGGAAGGCTGTGCAAGTTACTTGCAAGGAGGAGTGACTAGGGCTTCTAAATGGCAGAGAATTGAGCAGTGAGACTGCAGAGGCATAATCTATACACCAAAACTGCCCATCAAGCTAAAGTTGTTGGTGACTATAGTGTCCCTTTAAATTTTAAATTTACTTTGATTTATCACTTTAGTAATTATTATTATTATTTATAAAGCGCCAACAAATTCCGTGGCGCTGTACAATGGGTGGACTAACAGACATGTATTTGTAACCAGACAAGTTTGACGCACACGAACAGAGGGATGGAGGGCCCTGCTCAATGAGCTTACATGTTAGAGGGAATGGGGTAAAGTGACACAAAAGGTAAGGGTAGGGTAGAAAAGTAGGTTGCTAGGATAGTGTTCATTTAGGGCTTAGTGTTTTGTTTTGATGACAGTTTCAGGAAAGGAATCGGGGTACGGGGAGGGAAAGCTGTTCACGGTTTAATTGATATGCTTTCCTAAAGAAGTACATTTTCAAAGATTTTTTGAAGGAGTGGAGACTGGATGAGAGTCTAACAGAGAAGGGAAAGGCGTTCCATAGGAATGGTGCAACCCTAGAGAAGTCTTTTAGGTGAGCATCAGAGGTAGGAGTAAGTACAGCGCTTAGATATAGGTCTCCGGCAATTAACCCTGTCTATCTACTCCAAGCCCAATTCTGTGTGTATAGTGTGCAGTGAAAAGATTATATATCTATCTGGTGAGTTTGTCTTTTACAGGTTTTGTGGGTAACATGTCCACTTTAATGAAATCATAGTCCTACAATACATATTAATATCATGCAGCAATGCTCATCGTACGTTCCTTGGTAAAGCTAGCATTTTTCAAAACAGTTAATAGATATTGATAAAGTTGTTTGTGTATCATGACATTTGAATAGTGTATAAAAATAAGTTTTTCAAACTATAAAAAAAATAATTAGAAATAAGAAAAAAATATATAGCTCTATTGGGGCCAATCTCAGTCTACATGATATTCAAACAGATTGTAAATGTGATGAGCTACTTTGCTTCAATTCATTTTCTAATTCCACGGGGTACAACAGAGAAATGTTCCACAATGTAATGCATTATTTCCAAACCAACAGAGGAGAGAGTGAACTATGAATATCTGAATTATAATATATAAAAGTAATAAAATATAAAAATGGAATGGATTCAACTGGCTATGCTTATCTCCATATACTTCAATAAGTCGATTGTTCTTTGGTAATTTGCTTCCGCAATGAAAAAAAACATTAATCTGTAAAGTAAGATCGGAACACAAAGCCTTTTCTCCATTGTTCTCAAGCAGGACCTCTTAACTCAACTTATTACTAAAACATTAGGATTTGCATAAATAGAAACAAAATCAACCAGGTTTTAGTTTGATTCTTAAATTTTACTGTATTAATTTCACACTCACACACACTTTGTTTGTTTTGCTCTTTTTCATTTTGGTATAAACAGGTTAAATTGTGTTATGTGCGAAACACGACAGTCACATCATGGACTAAATGGCCTGTCACTGCTGAATTGTTGGTGCAGGGAAGCCATAGCTTGATTATTTCAAAAGTAGTACACGTTTTGCCTTGTTTATGTTTTTTGCAGGTTGCTACAGTGCATATGCATTCTGAATGAAATATATTAATAGCATAAATAATGTATCCATCACTTTACTTTGATAATATGTATGATTCTGTCTATGAAGATATTGTTCAGGTGCTATTTAATAAAGTAAGTATACAAATTATATTTTCCTACTCTGTTATCCCTTTGCATCTTACATCATATGGCACATATGGCATTGATGGGTTTATTATTTTTACTCGAGTAAACATGGACTGGCTGGCAAGGGTGGTATATGGACTGGTAGCTGTTTTAATTCCAGATATGCCCCACACAGGTGTCTGAAATGAGAAACATGCAGGGATATAATGAGCATCATCTTTTTACCAATTCATTTTTTACTAAATCCCAATTTTCATAAGTTTGAGCCTGTTCAAGTAGCCCATGTTTTAAATATTTTTTGAGCTGATATGTAGCTGGGCTTATTAGAAACCTGACATTTAGTCTTCTGTCATTTGAAATGCAGTAGTTTGACCACTTTCCTAGTTAATTGTTGTCCAGGCCAAATAACTGAGTTCAAAGTAAGGAAGTCTTTTCAACGTGTCACTTGGCTTGACCCAAAAATCTTCAAATCTCCATAAATTTCAGCGACTACTTCTATGTGGTTGGTAGTACCCCTTTTTCAGCAGGTACAAATTAAAACTGTCCCGCTAAAAAATATATGGCATTAAGACATCCCTGAAAAAGTTAATGTAGAAACCATTGAGTGAAAATCAGATTGGCACAAATTTTACCAGCAGTTTCTACATTCATTTTTTCAGGGGTGTCCTACAATGGCCATAGTTTTTGAGCTAAAATTCCATTGCCAGAACTGGACTAATTTTTTTTTCCAGTAGGTAAACTAAATTTGCAATGAGGAAATTAGGCTGTAAGTAATTGCACCATTTAAAATAAAAATTCAGTTATCTCACATGGCGTTTGAATATATTTTATTTGAAACCATTCAAATTAGTTTCAATGAAAATGAAAAATGATGCTTGCCACTTCAGTTTTTAAATCAATACAAGATGATTTTTTTTCTTCCAAGTAACATACAAGACCCAAGAGATTGCCCGTGCCAAAAATATCACTGCTGGTGTTTATCTAAGAAGTCATTTTTCACAAAACACTTTGTGGAGCCCAAAGGCCTAGTTCACTTTCAGTAACATCAGAAATCAAAATACTAACTTTCAATGGTGACAAGAGATGATATTAAGAAGTCTTATTTGACACGAGGAATTTCTTTGAATCCTATATTTATCTTTTAAGACTCCTCAAGGTGTTAAGAAAATACTAGCGAAACTTAGTGATTTTATTGTGTATTTCAAATTTACTGCTACAGAGTTTGTCATTGACTCACCATGTAACTCTGTCTAGCATGCAAATAGAACAAATTAGATTAATTATTAAGATTTCTTCTTGCTGGTGTAACTTTTAATTATTTTTGTGAGTTTTAAACACTAAACCAGTTAAGAAAGCTATCTTTAATAAAAACAAAACACCCCACTGTAATGTCATCTATGCACTAAAATGTACATAGAAGACTACTACCCTATTCGTAAGTTATAAAGATAACTGAGTATATCACACGAGTCTCAGTCATCCCATCCTATAACATCTATATAGAGTTAATTGTTGCAGTTAAATAATATAATAAACTTGGCCTAATTGTTTTGATTTTTGCTTTTCAATCCGTAAACACAACCATTGGTTTTTTTAGCACAGAGTTTCTCAATGTGGATGCGAATACCTCCAAAAACAGCAAGAATATTCTGAGTTTTCTTACATGAAATTTGTTGTTTGGGAAGGAAAAATATGAACATTTGATGATATAAGAAGACTACAAAAACCTACTCTGCTACAAGTACTCAAGAACCAATATTGAGATTCTCTGCTCGAAGACGGCATAGTTGACCGTCGGTTGGACCAAACTTCTGGAATAAAATTGAATCATGACATGTCACACATGTCATGTGTCCTTAAGGGGTTAAAGTAATGTTCATATTGACAACTTGTAGCACTTTATATAGTTTTTTTAATATTGGGTCAATGAGACATTCCTGGAATTTGAACGTATGTTTTTTTTTTTTTTTTTGTGAAAGCCCCTTACATCTAAATGTTACCTCCTTCCCCAAAAATATTAAATTAATTTAAAAAAAAAATAATAATTGCATTGCTTGGAAAAAGTGACTGTGGTAAGTGTGCAGATGTTGGCGGATATAGGGTCCACCTATTAGAAATCTCAAGTTTAGCAATAAAATGTTAGCACTAGCACATTTGGACTAACAGGGGAGCTAACTAGTTTCTAGACATGTACATTCGTTTTCGTACGAATACGATTTCTTTTTTTTTTTTCATATTTGTTTACTAAAACGTAAATGAAAGCCCTACAAATGAAATGTAAACTAAACAAAAGGGCAAATGCATTACCTTTTTTTTTATTTAGTTTCATTCGTTTAATAGACTCCGTACTGCAGGGAAATTAACCCCCACAGCAAGGAGAAAATAACACTGTGCTATTGCTGCCCAGTCACTAGTGAAATAAGGGGGAACCTGGCACATGGTGGGGAACACTAATAACTAAAATGGGTGGGACATAGTGCTCCCCGTACCCCTGCCTGTGACTCGATATGGGTGGCGGCTATTAATATAAACGGGGGGACCTAATGTCCCCCCTGGTCCCCACCCATGAATGGCAGATGGGGCCCCTAATTAAATAAATAATGGGGGGGACCGAATGTCTACCCCAGGTCCCCGTCCATGAGCGACTGGTGGGGACCCTAATAAATTAAAGGGGGAGCCTAATGTCCCCCCCAGGTCCCCACCCATGAGCGGCGGGGGGGGGGGACCACAAATAATAAAGTGACTAGGGGTCACCAAGCCCCTAGTCACACCCCCCCAATAAAAATTCCCTACCTACCCCCCTCACCCTAATAATAGAGAGAGGGGAGCAATAACCTAACCCTGTAAAATAAAATGTCATACTTATCATTAGATGTCTTATTTCTTCTTTTCTTTCTTCAGCCCCAAAAAAGGCCAAATAAAAATCCATAATATGCGTCGCAACTGTTAACATTAAAAAAAAACAGAGCGCAGAAAAAGAAAATACACCCCCCAAAAAATAATCCTTCTTCACCCACGGAAGGCACGGTGCAGAACGAGCTCTACAGGCTGGGGAAAGGCTTATAAATCCTTCCCCCACCCTGCAATTAGGCTCAGAGCGCTGACAGGTAAGTCTCTACATTTACCTGTCACAGCACTCTGATTGGTTGGCTTGAAATCCAACCAGAGTGCTCTGTGTCATTTTACACAGAGTGGGAAAGTTCTTCCCAATTTTCCCATGCTGTTATTGGTTGCTTTCAATTTGAAATAATATATAGTGACCCCCATAGGTTTTAATGCAGGGTCGGTAGGAATGGATTATTACAAGGAGGGAGCTGGTAGCTCTGTCGGCTACCTCCTTTTTTTTTTTTATTGTGCACGCGTAGTGCTATTTTCATCCTAATGGATTTTTCTAATGAATTTCGGTAGAAAACAAATGGTTTACGGATGAAATTCGGGATTGACTAATTAAAATTTTATTTGGTACGAAATCAATCGTCCAAAATTAAAATTTCACTGGTGCACATGTCTAAAAAACAGTCCTTACCGACCATGGACGTACCTAGTATGTCCATGGTATTTTTTAGTACATATCCGATCCCTGCCATTCCTCCGCTGGCGATTGGTGTTGCTCCCGGTCTGGGGGGACTGCCTGACAGCCCAGACAGTCCCCCCTCAGCAAATTAGGCCCCCGTGGGCCATGTGATCGATCTGAAAGAGTGGTCACATGGCCGCAAGAGGCGTCCATAGTGCGGCCTGAAGGGAAACTGCCTGAACTGATAGGGAGTCTCCCTGCATCTGTAAAAAAAAAATAGTAAATATAAAAATATATATGATATATATACATATATTTTATCTATATAATATATATCATACATATATATATAGTCATACGAAGTGTATTTTTATATTAATATACACATATATTAAAATAAAAATACACTTTCAATTAAATTACACATGTATATATATAGTATATATATAATAACTATATATATTGTATATATATTATTATAAATATTAATAAGTAAATAAAAATAAATACAAAATGTAAAAATAATTTTAAAACATTATATATATATATATATATATATATATATGTCATTTTATTCCAACTGTATTTTGATATTAATATATATCAAAATACACTTAGAATGAAATTATATATATATATATATATATATATATATATCTATGTATATATAAATAAAAATAATACGAAATATATTATATATTATATAATATAATATAAATAATTTCATAAATGTGCACATAGACTTCAAATATATAAATATGTATTTTTTTTTTTACATAATTAAGTAATTTTATTAATTGCAATTTGAGGGAACTGCCTGACAACACAGGCCGAATGTCCAGAGAATTTAATTTGCTATAACTGTATGTATGTAACTTTCTATGACACCCTAAAACATGTACATGGGGGGTTACTGTTTTACTCGGGAGACTTCATTGAACACAAATATTAATGTGTCAAAACAGTAAAACATATCACAGCAATGATATTGTCAGTGAAAGTAATGTTTTTGAATTTTTCACACGCAAACAGCACTTTCACTGATGATATCATTGTTTTGATACATTTTGCTGTTTTGAAACACTAATATTTGTGTTCAGCAAAGTCTCCCGCGTAAAACAGTACCTCCCATGTACAGGTTTTATAGTGTTTTTGAAAGAAGACAACCCAAATATAAGGCTTGATTTTCACATTGATTGATTGGTTATGTTGCCTTTGAGAGTGTATGGTAGCCCAGGAATGAGAATTACCCCCATGATGGCATACCATTTGCAAAAGAAGACAACACAAGGTATTGCAAATGGGGTATGTTCAATCTTTTTTAGTAGCCACTTAGTCACAAACACTGTCCAAAGTTTGCTTTCATAATAGTTTTTTGCATTTTTAACACACAAACAAATATAAATGTTAACTTTGGCCAGTGTTTGTGACTAAGTGGTTACTAAAAAAAGACTGGACATAACCCATATTTAATATCCTGGGTTGTTGTTGTTAACATTGGGCATTTCTAAACTCAGGACAAAATTTAGAAACTATTTATCATGAGTGTTTTTTGTCGGTTGTAGATGCATAACACAATTTAGGGGTCAACGTTAAAAAAAGGGTGTTTTTTAAAAAAAAATTCAGCATATTTTATAAAAATTTTATAGTAAATTATATGATATGATAAAATAATGGTATCTTTAGAAAGACCATTTAATGGCGAGAAAAACAGTATATATGTGTGGGTACAGTAAATGAGTAAGGGGAAAATTACAGCTAAACACAAACACTGCAGAAATGTAAAATGTGTTTTGAGAAAATGTGTGATTATAATTATCATATTGATAATTTATCAGTGATCTAATAAAAACACATTTCTACTTCTGAAAGTAAGGTTATCTATCAGAGCTGCTTTGCCTTTTATAGTTTGTATTTCTATGTTTAATTCTACTTAATTGTTATGTAGATTCTCCCAGCAGAAATAGAGAACAGAGTTACAAAATACATGTGTACCTTGATGCCGTATGGTGAATACACAGTATGTGTGCATTTTATGGTCATTCCTTTAAAGTGCATAGCTCTTGTCTGTTAGCATCTTTGCATTTCAAAATAATGGGTGTGTTGTATTTCACATATATTGTATACCTTATCAGTATAATATTATATTATAATTTATGAAATTTTAATGTAAATTATTCCACTTGGTAAAATAAGATTTGTGTCACCTTGTCATTAATTTTACCAAATGTGGAACAGCAATTTTAATGAGGGCTCAATGATAAGTCTTTTGACTTCGAATATGTCACAGAAAATAACAGCAGCGTATTGACAGAATATCAAGAGTCACAACTATGACAAGAAAGTAGTGAGGGTCGATGCTAAACTGTAAGGTTTGCACAAAAAGGCAGAGCCTACTGTATTGGGGAACATTCTGTGATGTGAGTTTTCAGCTATAACGGAGCATATGGAATTAATGGTTGTGTTGACATATTTTTTATGGGTATGAAGTCACAAAATAATAGATTACTGGTTACAGATGGAATAAGCTGGGGTAATATATGCAGCTAAATGAAATACTGAATGGTAGACAGGGAAACTAACCCAATAGATTAATGTACACATGTGGAAACCTTTGCCAAATGCAACCTTGGGAAGCCAGGCACTGGAGTTCCAATCTTTATCCTAAACAAAATAAGAGTTATTGCCCGGCCCAAAGGGGTATGCAAAAAAACAAGCTCCCACCAGAGAAGGATGTAGAAGGTATTGTTCGGTTATCCAGGTCTGAAAATAGATTTGGGAAACAGTCACAATTAAATGTATGTTGTCATTTAGCCTTCCCAAGTTCTAATTAATAGGCATGCACACTCTCAACACACAATGACATTAGAGAAAAATAATTAACACGATAAACCCTATAATCACAATTACATTACTCTAAGACCTTTTCTGGCTACTAGTGAAAAATTGCATTCATTGTAAATTTGCCTTAAAGGAACACTATAGGGTCAGGAACACAAACATGTATTCCTGACCCTATAGTGTTAAAACCACCATCTAGACCCCCTGGGCCCCTCATGCCTCCATAAATATATCAAAATCTTACTTGTATTCAAGCCTGAAGCTGCAGCTCTGCATGCTGTTTGCCTCAGAAAAACAAGCTGTCTTCTGACATCATCAGAAGTGGTGGCCTGATCCAATCACAGTGTTTCTCCATAGGATTGGCTGAGACTGACAAGGAGGCAGATCGGGGCAGAGCCAGCACAATTCAAACACAGCCCTGGCCAATCAGCATCTCCTTATAGAGATGAATTGAATCAATGAATCTCTGTGAGGAAAGTTCAGTGTCTGCATGCAGAGGGAGGAGACACTGAATGTTTGGATGCATTTTAGGCATGACCCAGGAAGGATCTCTAACAGCCATCTGAGGAGTAGCCAGTGAAGTTATCACTAGGCTGTAATGTAAACACTGCATTTTCTCTGAAAAGACAGTGTTTACAGCAAAAGCCTGAAGGTAATGATTCTACTCATCGGAACAAATTCAATAAGCTTTAGTTGTTCTGGTGACTATAGTGTCCCTTTAATGATCTGCAAGGTAATACCTAGTCTAGGGCCCAGTTATTTTAATAACAAACTGGCCTATAGGGTTCTGCATGGTCACTCCCTGAGATCAGTCATACCATTTCTTCTCCGTCCAAGATCCTACCCAGAGTCAGCCTTAGGGGTGTAGGGTGCCATGGCAACAGGCATGCCACTCGCCACACCAGGCTCAGGGTAACATCAGACATTGCTATCTAACACATTGCTGGATCAGCAATATATTGAATAGAAATGTTGCCCTGGTGGTCCAGTGGTGTACCACATTGTCTGCACCTGCCGCTGGTATCAGATCCTCTCCCTCGTGGTTAAGGAGCACACTTAGTGAGTTAGAATACTTCCTGAGAATTCCCTTGGCTGCACTCTGACTCAACATTGTGTGCCGGAAGAGGATATTATGATCTGTAACAGCGGCATGTATAGAAAATGGACCTCCAGGGAATGAATTAATTAATGAACAGCCAGCACTTGACCACAAGGGATTGAACAGCCAGCACTGGACTATGAGGGCAGGCATAAAACTTGGGCGTCATGTGGCCCCTCTAAGATCATGTAGGGAGCAATTAAGGGAGGAAGCAGAGCATCTCCCTTGGAGTCGGATAGACAGTTAAAGTGTTCACCGCAGGAGAAGGAATTATTTTTATTGACATAATTATGTGGTGTGACACTCCAAGTGCTCCTCTGGACAAGCCATCACTGTAAATTAACAACATAGACTTTTCCATTTAAAATTGTAAAGACACACCATAAAACCTTTATTTGTTCATTTACAAAAACAGCCCAGTATATTTCAGGCATTATGAAGCAAATGATCTTTACAAAAGTAAAAATTGCTTCAACCTTTACACCAGGTGGTCTTTTTCAAAAGTTCTTCTTTGGAAAGGAGTTGTACCAGGCTCATATCTGTCAAAACAGGATCGAGAGGGATTGATGTGTAACATTCAAAGATCAGATGCTAACCACTAACCAGTGTGTGAAGACAAATTGATGGAGTATATTATCAGAGATAAGGTTATCTCTGGCACTTGAATATCAGCTCTCTTACTGAAGTCTTAGGTAAATTTGCTATCCAATTAATTGTGATACATTTATCAAATCCAGCCAAAGCTCATTGCTCATCTTTGCTTGCAGGAATGACCATGTTGTTGCTACAAATAAGACAAAATCCAACTTAAATGTACCACAGGACACAAAGAGACATGGGACAAGAACCACAGTTTTCTAGGGAACTGGGTATTTTGGGTTTGCCCAGATTAGTTGTGTGCTCAGAAAAATACATGATAATTTTTGCTGATTAGACTAATTTTACAGCTATGCAAGAAAGCCCTCAATTTAATATTTTTGGATACGTTTTTCAAATGAATTAATAGTATTGGATACACTTTTTAAATTATTATTTTTTTAAATGTAAATATCAAAAACTATATAATATATAAAAAATGTTTTACTATATGGAAAAAAATGAAAATATTGCACAATTAAATATTTCTTAAAATATTAAATCATTTGAAGTGTTTAGCTAAAGATATGAAAGCATTTGAAAAGCTTATCCAACAATATTAAATCAAGGCCTAAGTTAGATATCTTCCAATTAGACTTATGCATATCTTGTTTAAACATTGTACATGTGTCTATAATGGTATATTTTCTGGCACCTACATAATGTTGAAAAACCAGTTCCAAAATGTAACAAAAATATGTCAAAACATACTTATAAAGCATTTTCTCATTACAATACTTTGTAAACTAGACATATTTTGGCATTTTCACACACTATAAAGTATTTTTTTGTTCATTTATGTTATCTCAGCAGACAGGCTTATACGATTAAACCCACTGTCTTTTGGCCATATTTTCCAGACCTGTCCAGAGTTGTGTTATGCTACAGGCCCATAGGATGGTTGATAAATGGAAGAGGCCAAATAGCACATTGTCAGTGAGCGTTTGTTTGTTATTACCCAGAATTCTTGGCAGCAACTAAAGTTCTTATTCTGTTTGTATAAAAAGTAAAACATTTCTTGCTACTCCAATTGCTGTCAATAAAATCCCACAAAATAAATATTTTTAAAGTCCATTTTTCTTCATAAAGAACAAAGAGCAATGACCAAATTCTTATGTAAAAGTTTTAAATATATATATTTTATTATTTTTTTTATTTACTTAAAAAATTAAGGACTGTGTAAATAATTGATTTATTTAACTTTTCCTTGGACTTACATTTTCTTCAATACATATGGGTGCAAAAATAATTATTTGCCTTGTCCAAACATGTAGACAACTCACCATTTTTTCCATTTAAAAACACATGAAAATACAACAAGCCCTTCTTATTCCCATTACTGAAAATACTATTAATTGCCTTAAAAGACATGTTTATGCAAATCTACTGCTTTTAGGAAGCACGTGCATGGGCTCGGATACACACAAGTATATAAAATATTGTGCTGTATAATATAAAACTAATTTAGTTACAGTCCATCTCTGAAACCAAGCATGGATTAAAGAAGGTAAAAGCTCAATATCTTGTTTTGTGTCTTTTTGAAAGCCTTTACATTTTTTGCCATTCTGGTTCTAGTGGGTTCTAATTCTGCTTATTGAGACGTCTTTAGCTATCCAAACAGTCATTTCTACATAGTAAGTCTGAAAGGCTGGCTAATGTGTTTTTGTGGTCTCCACATTATAGTCAGCGTCAGTTTTGTTTGGGATGACCCCATGACCTAAAAGTGGCCTATCTATTTACAAAATGTTTTCTGCCATGGACCTAATAGCATGACTGAGCAAAACAATAATTCTAATATCATAGAGTCACAGCATCTGCCAACTAAATTTAGGTGATAGGAAGTCTTGTCCAACATGGGAGAATTAGTATTAATATGTATTCACTATGAGTAAAATTCCAAACTGGCAGAAAAGTACTGTGAGGCTTTGCAATGTCGAATGCTGGAGTTAGACAAATATATGAAAAACAAATGCCATAAGAGGAGAAAAATGAACACAGATGAATTCACATGATATTATGACAGCTTACAGTAAATACATGTTTGTATCCAAAACTGAAATAGTAGAAATAGCAAGAACACATAACATTTTTTCATATTCCTTGCAGCTTGAGATATAATATACAATGACTCTACAATGAAAGAAACAACGATTCTGTGTTACGAGGCATAAACATTCCAATATGAGATTATAAGACAGAGTCAATAGCATATACAAGAAACATAACATACACAACATTGGTTCCATGACTGTGGGGCCATAAAACTTATTGATTTCATTAAAGTTCTAATGACCGCTCATTTTTCATCAATACATATGTGAATTATAAACATCAACGGACTTATGAATCCATAGTTCATAAAAAATTTTCTTTAAAAAAAATAAAAAATGAATAAAGCATCAAACATCAACTGTCATAAAAAGAAAATCTAAAAAATAGTTTAAAACAATAAAAAATAACTGTACACAGTTTATTAATCAATAATGTTTTCTGACTTTCAGTAGGAATCGTGAGGCAGGTTTCCAAGCTATCACAATCCAAATGTCATGGACCATTTTACTGACAGTAATGCCAGTGAAATCAGAAAATATTAACTAGTTATCTAGCAATGTCCAGCTTTTTTAAAGGCTATTAGCTGTTGAATTTGCTATATGTCCAATGGTTCTATTAAAGCAGCACTGTCACCCCACCACCCCTGAAAAATAAGTATTTCATAATGATAGAATATTAAAAAAAACCTTATTTTGACTGTGTTTGAATTTCACTGAAATTCCAACCCAGTCAAGAGTTATATCTGTATATTTCCTCCCCCTGACTGTCTTAGATTCAATACGGAGTCTCAGAGTCTCTCGCACCCTGTTTCTTGCTCTCCCTAAGTTTTAATGGTAATCTAGACGTGGACCCTTTCCTCACAGTGCCTTGAGGGATATCAGCTATAACTAACTGACAAGACTTAAACAAGGATGCAACTATCATCTGGGGTTGCAGTATCTCTCATGCAGAGAGAGTCGGCTTGCATTTTGGATCTATTCTGCCCTTTGTTTGGAATCAGGCTAATATGCGAATGGCCCTGGTTCTTTTTGTAATGGCACAAGATGAGCTAAAACCAGGCTGAGATCTGAGTGGGGACCCACCAAATGGCAGGCTATTTGAGTTATTGTTTATTCTCAATATTCCCTTGCACCCTGTTTTTGGAGTTTAAGAGTCAATATCAACAGCCATCACCAGTGACAATTGGATGTGTCTATGGAGAATCCCACAGTCTCTCAGGATCCACCATAGACCTCCATGCAGTACTTTTGTGCATGTGTGAGAGTTTAGCAGTGGCGTTGGCTCCCGGTGCTGAGGAGCCAGGAATACAAGATGGGCAGAGTGAGCACAAGGAACAGGTTCAGGTAAGTAATCTCACCATTACCTGCCCACCCAACCAGTCACTGGACCCCCAGTGGCGATGTCATTATGCGATGGTGAGACACAGATGGTGACAGTGCTGCTTTAATGGAAGGATAACAATTCTTCAGAAAGGTGATCACTGAATCCTGAATGTTTAATCTAAAGTCCATGTTAACCAATGTGGATGTAAGTGCCTTTTTGTTTTTTACAGATATGATAATAATCAAAGTTTGTAAACAAAAAAGTGGGATTCAGTGGGATTGATGTTAATTCAACATTAATATCTCATTAAAAGTGCCATCAAAATTTTGATAAATATCAAATGTGAGATTGTAATTTACTTCAAAATGGAAAAAACATCACAAATCAAGATATAAAAATCCAATTGTTCACTGCATGAACTCCACACAAATATTAGAGAAAAAAAGCTAAGTTAATTTATCATGAATGAATAAGAAAAGTTAAATAATGTATTGCTTGTATCAGGACTTTATTTGAAAGGGCAACTCGATCTCAGTAGTAGCCTCGGAATGCTATGATGAATCTCCTACTTCTAAAGTGACCAACTTCACCATGCTTTATGGAAAAATATCTCATATTAAATTCCTTAGTAAGTCGAAATAAGCATTGCTATACAAATATAATGTAGCAACAACAATAACATATCAAATAAACATATTATACCTAAAGTAACCATTTTGTACATGGTGAAAGAAACGTTCATGTACATCAGTCAATTAAAGGAACACTATAGGGTCAGGAACACAAACATGTATTCCTGACCCTATAGTGCTAAAACCACCATCTAGCCCCCCACTTCCCCAGTCCTCTCTTGCCATCTAAATATAGTAAAATCTTACTTGTATTCAAGTCTAAAGCTGCTGCCTCTGCCCCTGTCTGACCTGCCTTTTGTCTGCTGACATCATCAGAAGTGGTGATCTGAGCAAATCACAATGATTCCCCATAGTGACCATGCTGACCCTATAGTGTTAAAACCACCAGCTAGCTCCCCCTGTCCCCTCTTGCCTTTATAAATATAGTAAAATCTTACTTGTATTCAAGTCTACAGATGCTGCTTCTGCCCCTGTCTGCCTCTGACCTACCTGCTGTCTGCTGACATCATCAGAAGTGGTTGTCTGAGCCAATCACAATGCTTCCCCATAGGATTGGCTGAGACTGTGAAGGAGAGAGTGTTTACTGCAAAATGCCTGAAGGGAATTATTCTACTCACCAGAACAAATACAATAAGCTGTAGTTGTTCTGGTGAGAATAGTGTCCCTTTAAGAGCACAATAGGTTATGATACATCACCTACTATCATCACCACTGCACTATACAAGCATCAAACAAGCTGATCTGAGCACTCCGTGAATATATATATTTTTTATTAATTTACCAATCTTGGAATATTAATCGCCAGATTATGTGATTAATGATAATAGATAAATCCAGTTTAAGTCTATAAGTTTAAAACGATTTTTAATTTGGACATTATTACTGATAAAATAAGGTTTTGAAATATTTGTATATTGATCATGGTGAAATAAAAACCCACACAATTGCAGCAGCAATTCAGAAAAACGTATCGGGCGGATACAATTTCTAGATTGTGATCAACTCATAAAATAAGAACTATGAGGAATTGACAAGGAAATTGCAAATATTACACCGAAATAGCCATTTAGAAAACATTCTCCAATCTAGTTATATTTTATGAAACAGTTATAGTTTAAAATGTACAATTCCCTTGTCTGCTTTTAACAGTGATTGGTGTAGTGAATGACCCTAAGGTAAAATAAGAGCAATACATATTTACAGGTATTGGAAAGTGACTGAGAGTGTTTAAAATCTGTATCTTTCATCGTGACTGGATAAACGGGCTGAAAATGTGAGTTATTTTCTACCATGTTTCCCTTGCATATCATATCCAAGACAAGGAAGGATACTTAGCTGAAACCTTTTAACGATTTAACATCCTTTCTAACATACGTATATCACATGTTCTATATCAAAATAGTTTAACTGACAAATTCACTTGGAGAGAGAAATGAAGACTGCTACAGCATACAATCACCAGTTGGCCAATCTCATCTGCCCAGAATAAAATCCCATAGTGATTGGTTCTATTGAATAGACGTACACACATTCCAAACATCCTTAAATTAACATCAATTATTTAAAATGTAAATTCTCGGTGCCTATTATTCTGTTAATTTCTTGTAATATCCTTCAATCTTCCCAGCAATGTCAAACCCTACATTGATTTAACCTAGTGTCAATTAGTTTTCTAGCTTTATTTAGTCTTAATAATCTTTAGTATTTAGTACAAGTACTTCGTAAACTGAAGAGGTTAATATGTCCAAAACAAAACCTGCTAAAGCCTCTATTGATGTTTTTTATTTGTGTGAATTTTTAAATATTTTAACAATGATGAGCAATGTTTTCACTTAGCTGTCAGAGAATATAAAAATAAAATATTATGTAAAAGTGCCTAAAAAAATTAGAAACTAACAAGTTCTGATTTTATTTAGCTCACTTGCACTAG